ACGAAGAGGTCAAGCGTGACCCCTCAATCAGGGGTCTGCGGGCAGGAGCAGGCTCTGCATTGCTTGGCGTTGCTTTGCGCTGCGTAGGCCCATGACGGGCCCAGGTGCGGCACGTGCGCCTCCTGGCCCAGCCAGTGGGAGATGGAGGTGCGATCGAGGATCGACGTGCGATCGATGGCTTGTTGATGGTAATAACCTCAGTGGTGTTTGAATCGTTTTCGAGCGCATCAAATTTGTTTGATGGCGGTCCATAAAATGTTCAGGCCGTGTCATGGCCGTCTCGGGGATTTGGATGGACGGCGGAAGTTCCTGCCTCCCAAGATGCCGTCTTGAGGCCTCTCTTGGGCTGCATTACTCGTACTACTCCCACTGCCCCCCCCCTCGGAATCATTTCGTTCATTGATCTGTTGTTGTGCTAACGACATCCCTCGGCAGTCCACCCCGCCTCGGGAATTCATTAATTGGGTCCCCCGGTTTCCCTTGCCTTCCCTGTGCCCTCATTCCTCGTTCCCTTCATTTCCATATTTCCTCTCGTCCACCTACCCTTCATCACCTCCCTCTGCCTCTGTCTTATGTTGGTCCTCCTTCTCCCTTCCCTGTGCATCCTCAAGGTTGTCCGTGATTGAGTCGATTCGACTGCTTTGCTGTCGGCTGATTCGATGTCGAATATTGCCGGCTCTATCCGATTCGATTCCGAAATTTCGACGATCCGATGCGTCCGGTGCTAGCATTGCGCCGTTGTGCATCTTGGCGCGGCCGATCCGATCCGACCCGATTTCGACTCTTTGCTGCCGTGTTTGCCCCTCTTTCTTGGCATGGTCATCGGTCCGGGTCGGGATGGCGGCAGGACAAGCTCGACGAGGAGGCCTGTGGGGGGAGACCCGCGCCGCCTGCTGTAGTGACCGCTCCTGTCAGGAGGAGGGGGGGGGAGGAGGTGGAGGCATCTCTGCGGGGGGGAGGAGGAGGAGAACCAGTGCAGGCCCCAGAACGCATCAGCGATGCTGATGTAATCCATCCCTCCAGGTTTATTCGTCACAGACCCCTGCGAGGGCGCATGTTCATTTCGGAAAGCGCCCCATTGAAGAGAACCGGTGGAGAATTCCCAATCGTTACCAAACACATTTCCTGGGACTTCAGCGCCGCGAGTCAATTTGATTGTTGCGACCTGACAGTCCCCAATCGTGCCAGGACTGCGAATCCTTGAGTTTGCTCCACGCTTACAAGACGAATGTGCGCGGCGATCAAGCGAGAGTCGAATTTTGAAAAGTAATCGCCCTCCATCCTTGAAGCTGCTGCTAACTTTTAAAGTTCATGTGCGCGGCGCTTCAGTGAGATCCCCGTTGTTGAAAAAGGACCCGCCCTCTACCCGTGTTGCTGTTTTGAACATTTAAGACGAGTGTGTGCGGTGCTCGAGCGAGAGCCACATTTTGGCAATTTCCCGCCCTCCATCAAGCTTTTTAAACGAATGTGCGCGACGGTCCTGCGAGAGCTACCTTTTGAAAACGAACCGCCCTCCATCCTTGACGCCGCAGCATACTTCAATACTCTGGATGTCTAGTGGTACGGAAGTCTCAAGCGAGAAGTCCGGGCTGCCCTACCGAGACGTCTGGAGTTGCGAGACGGAGGAGTTGTGCATAAGCAAGAGGAATGGATGATGGGAAGGAGGCAGAAGGAGGAGGGAGGGTCAGAGCCCAACATTTAGCCTCTGGGAGTCCTCTTGGAGCGCTCTTTGGGCCGCCCTGGGCCTCTGTGCCTCTTGGAGCGCTCTTGAGACCGCTCGGGGCCTCTGTGCCTCCCTTGGGGTGGCGGGGGGAGAGGGGTTCGGCGCCGACCCGGGCTATCCGCTCGGAACCCCGAACGTTTCATGGTCACGCCTCCCCCTGGGCCCCCTGGATGTATCCGCGCGTTCTGCTCGTCAGCTGGAGCAGTCTCCCTCGTTTTCAGCGGAGGCTTTGCAACAGAGTTTTGTCTTGCATTCGTGGAACCCGTAGCGTCCGCTAGGGGGGGTCGCCCCCGCCCCCCCAACGTGACGGCATCGAGCGTACGCGTGGGGGTGCCGGCTCGCCTTCAGCAGGCATGCTGCGGTGCTAACAGACATGCTAGTACCATACCATGCCTGGAAGGCCGCATGCGAACCCTACCCCAGACACCCCACGATGTCTAAGGGGGGTGTCTGGGGTAGGGTTCGCGTGTGGCCTCCTAGTGCCCGCGCCCGCCACGGCACCGCCACCCCGCCACGGGGGGATTGGACCCTCCCCGTCACGGACGGTACCGGGGGGATATACATATACATATATATATATATAAATACATGCAGCGTCTGTCGGGCCAGGTCGCCGCCACCCCTGGGCGAGGCTGTCGACGAAAGATGTGCGGTGACGGTGGGGCGCTTTGCGACGGGTTGCGAGTCTTGCCCTTGTGGGTCCTTTGGGCGCTGGGGTATCGGACGCTCCCGCCGGCTTTGAATTAATTGCAGACACCCTCCGAATTCCAAATCTCAGCAGGCGTTTCAGGAGTCTGACCTGCAGGGGTAGGGTTCACACGTGGTTGCTGCCTATGAGCCGTTCCGTCTAGCCAGCTTGAAGTGCCCATCTTGCAGGGTGCGCGTCAGGGGGGACCTGAAAGCCAGCTTGCAGGGTGCGCGACAGGGGGGTCCGTAAAGCCTCTGCCGCCCCTGTCGCTGCTGCCAGAACAGTCGCTCTGGATCCGAGAGTCGTCTATTTGGCGCATTACTATCCGAAGGTCGTGATCGGGGCTTGGTAGATCATGCCCCAAAGAAACACGTCCGCTCGATTCGTTGTTGGGTGGCCAAGTAATTTCGATGATCCTCAGGATTCGTGTTAGTCAGATGTGTGTTCGCCATGGTTACCTCCACCGATAGCACGCAGCCTGTATCGGGCCCCATCACTTTGCCTGCGTCGTAGTGCTTTGGTGGACAAGCACACGTTGACGCTGACATATTATCTGATGATCATCGAACCAGTTTCTGAAGGGGTAGGGCAATGGCTTTCATTGGTCCAGAAGCGCAGGCTGATGTTGGGGGATCGGCTCTGCAGTGAAGGTTGATGTAAAGCGACACGTTGACACCACGCGGTGGTGTTGGCGGCGATCTGGAGCATCTGTCGCGCCTGGATCGTGGAAGACCGTGAAGTGGAAATGTGCGAGACGCGCTCTTGAGAGGCTGCATCGCTGCCCGTCCGTCGTCCCAACGGCGGGATTTGCGTCGAAATCATGGTCAGAACGAACGCTTTCCCCCCTTGGTTCTTGCGCGCGTGTCTTCAGAGTCTCAATCTTCTTCATGCTAGCGCGGCGGTGAGTAATGCGTCCTGCCGGTGCCTGGAAGTTGCAGTCTCCGTTATCTTCTTTCTCGTGTCGAACCAACCCGCGCCGAGTTGGAGCACCTGCGCGTCCTCGACCACCCCAACATTGTGAAGCTGTACGAGCACTACGAAGACCGGGGCGGGGGCAGGCACTCGACGGGGCACGACCCTGGGTTCGCGCTCCCCTACCCTGGGCGGGGACTGTTCCGTGGCCACCGCTTGGTGGATTTGATCTTCGAAGACCTCGGCAGTGGGCAAATTGTGGCTGCCTCTGCGCCCCCAGGGGCCGAGACATGTCCACACCCACCGCCGCCTGAGGCCCCAGGGCGTTGTCTCCCCAGGCTGGTGTCAGCTCCGGAGGAGTGCCCGCCTCGCATCCTGCCCACGTCTGTGGTTTCGGGTGTGGGCCCCGAGTGCGCGCGGGCCATGCCAGAGAGGGCCCGCTGCTGGACTCTGCAGCGCGCCCGGCTCACGGGAGATCGCGGCCAGGGGTCCCAAAGGGACACCGTGGTGCCCCGAAGGCGCACGGAAGGTGCACCTTTCGTCCCTTCCGCCCCCCCCCCCTCCAAGCTGTCTCTGCCAGCAGCGGAGCACCATTTAAGAGTTCTCGGGCCACTGGCAGGCCTGCGGAGGGAGGAGGCGGCATCGGCGTCAGACGGTGATGACGATGGTCTGGCTGGTGGGGCCCCCTCCTACCAGGCCCCCCCACTGCAAAACGCCCGACAGAAATTTGCCCCGTGGTGCCAGCGCCTCGCGCGGAGGGCTCTTGCGGGGCGTCGGGAGGGCCGCTGGAAGCAGTGCAAGGGGATCTCGTGGTATCTTCGATTGAGTTTTGGCATTGGCAACGTGTGGGGCGAGCGAGTCGCACGGGAAGGCTCGGCGCGTGGGGTCGTTTGGGCCGGAGATGTTGGCAGAGAGGAGGAGAGATAGATAGGGGGTCGATTGGGCGTTGGCGCGAGCCGTGCCATTTGAGTTTTTTGCGATGTTGCATTGTCACATGCGAGACGTCTTTTCAGAGGCAATCGCCTATGTATGTGATGCTTGAGGGGGCGCCACGCTGAGCGCAGTGTGCACCCAGCACTGCCCTACTGCCCTTCTCTAGGCCTCCTAGATGGGGTCGGAGTAAATGGGATCGAAGGATATCGCCGCATCGGCGATGGATCGCCGATGCATTGCCGATGCGGCTCGATGTGGAGCTCGATGTTCTCCACGCCGACGTCGCCGATGCATCGCTGACGTCGCCGTTGGATCGTCGCCGATGTATCGCCGATGCGGCGCGATCCTCTGACCCCATCTACTCCGACCCCATCTAGGAGGCCTCTAATGTCTTGGAGGAGTGGTGAGGGAAGGACAATGACCACATCTACATTGTCATGGACTGGCTGCATGCTCTGTGTCGTCGCTCGCCCCTGTGAGAAAGTTATTGCATGCGCGTCACATTGCTATCGCACCAGCCTCATTGTTGTTTCTGCAGCTGCCATGTTCCCCGTGTCTGTGCCATTGGATGCTCTTTCACTATGTCCCGCGCTGTCCTTCGATTTTTGTCTCGCGCTCTTTCTCGCACTCTCTCTTGTTATCCCTCCTATCTGTTTTTGGCATCTTGCTCCGAGCACATCATTTACATGTGCTCTGTGTGCGTATTGATATGGCGCCAAGTCAGCTGCAAAAAACGTAATCCAACCCCCCTTCAATGTCACTCTTGGGACGGACGTCCAGAATGCTGGTGGGAGGCTGTGCGCCAGGGCCACCTCGTCACGCAATGTTTGGTGTCGTGGCACTCTGACCACACGTGCCTGAAAGTCGGCATCACAGCCCGCAGTGCTTACAGCTCGAGCCTGTCCGCCACCTCGTCCCCAAGAAGACGGCACCACATCGATAAATCTCCCAGAGGGTCCTATCCGCCTCCGAGGGGCTGTGCACCCACTTCCTATAAGCTTTGCTAGACTCCAAGGATACGTCGACATGGTCAATCTCCTCGGCGTCGTGCCTCGTCCTGACCACTGTCTGGATGCATCGGACACGGCAGATCAGTCTGATGGCATGTTCGGCCGCCAGGGTTCCCGTCCAGAACTTCAGCGGTCATCCATCAGGTCGTTGATTGCGCCACGTACTCTGAAATCGTCGTCCGGATCAACTTCCAGAGTTAAACCTTGTGGGGGAGAGAAGCGCACGTATTGCAAGCCATTCGATTGCACGTTGCAGGTGATGGATAACCTCGCTAAATATACAAGATGGAAAAACCAGCTCATGGGGTCGATGTTCAAATGGAGAGAGAAGAAGTCACTGGGGTCCACGACGCCGCTTGGCCGACACCATCGGCGTGGGGTCAGACAGTACCTCTGACATTCTCAGACGGAGAATACCAACTCCAAGTTGAGATGTTGCCAGCAACATGCGGGCTTGGTCCGCCCATCTCTTTGCTGCCGAGTACGTAATCCATCCACTCTTAGAAGTCACACGAGGCACGAGTCCAGAACCCCGAAGGAAAGCCGTGATGGAGAGCAAGCTCGTCACGAAGGGCTTTTTGTCGTGGGCATTCCGCCCACACGTGCCTGAAAGACGGCATCACATGTCCGCAATGCTTGCAACGAGCCTGTCCTCCTCCTCGTCTCCGAGGTGACGGGACCACCTCGATACATCGCGAGAAGGGTCCGATTTGCTTCCGAAAGGCTCTGCATCCACTTTAAGTATGCTTTGCGAGACCCCAAGGACACGTCAACATCGTCAACTTCCTCTGAGCCATGTCTGGACTTGGCAACAGTCTGGATACATCGGATACGACACATCAACCTGATAGCATGCTCCGCCGCCTTGGTTCCAGTGTAGAACCTCCAGCGGTCGTCCACAAGGTCATTCACTGCGTCGCGTACTCTGAAATCGTCGCTCGGGTCCACCTCGAGCAGCAGGCCCTGTGTGGGGAGAAGCGCACGAACTGCAGGCCGATCGCCTGCACATGGTCCGTGATGAGAATGTCTCGACAAAAGCTGACCAGACAAGATTGTGATGCATGACGTTCTCGATCGCAAAGATGGCGCCCGACAAGACAGGGTGGAGCAACACGTTCTGAGCCCAGAAGCGCCCGCAGCACCAACATGAAGTCCCCTTCCACATCGCCCTGGCGAGGGCGCGGACGGCTGCGGCACAACCAGCGGACGTGCGCACAGGCCAGTCGGAGTCGTACTTGTTGCGAGCCTGGGATCGAGCCCATGATGTCGATGGAGAAGTACATGGTGGTCCAACCTCCCCTCGGCCCGATGGGGTGGCTGGTGTTGGTAGGAGCCGTCAGCACCCCCAAGTGCTCGATGAGCTTGTCATCGTCGTCTGCCGTCGACCACAACTGTTGCATTTTCTCATTATCACAGTATCCGATGGAGAGGTCGGAGTTTTTTGTAGCCTCCAGCTCGTCACGTAGAAGATCGGGGCCCTGAGCAACGGCATGAGCGTGGCGATCATCGTGGCAGGGGCCATCGAGTCGCCTTGGGGGAGCCCGCACTGGGGATCGATCGGGTCGGCGAGCTGGCCCAAGATGCTGCAATGCCTCGGTCCGCTCCACGCCGCCACGCATGTGCAGTTGACAATGTCGGGCATGCCACTGTGCTTGAGACTCTCCAAGGCGATCCCATGGGATATCTCATCAGATGCTTTCGTAAGATCCAGTTATTCTCCATCCGATACATCCGCACAGTGTCGAAGCCAAACCGATCTCGCATGAGGGACTGAGCTATCCTTTCGGTTGGCCCACTGATTCTCGGGTACCGACAAGGCCAGAGCACGCAGCCATGTCCGCAACAAGATCGACCCAACACTGATGGGTCGATTGTGGCCCTCCCCCCTCGGTATGCCAGCCACTCTCCAGCCAAAGACAAGGTGGCGCACAGGGTCTGGGAGGCGCCCACAGAGTCGAACTGCTTCTCGAGAGGTGATGACCCACGTGTCGTAGAGCTCCCGCACGATGGTGGGGAAGTGCTTCATGAGTGCGCGCTGCTCGTGAGAAGTCCAGCCGTCGAGTCATGGACATCCCTTGTCCTGCTTGGCCGCCGCTGAGAACTCCTCGAAGGTGGGTTCCCTTTCGGCAGGCTGTGCACTCTTGGGAAAGACCACCGCACCCGCATGCTGCTTCCACGCCATCACAAACTGTGTGTCGTCGTAGTCTGGCGGGTCCCAGTATTATTCCCACTTCGTTCCCATCTCAACAGCCGCCATCGACTGCGAAGCTGATGGACCTTTGAACGTCCGCCTCGTACATGTCCAGATTTAGTTTCACCAAGCTGAGAATTTCGGACGCCGCTGCTTCGAAGCATTGTAGTGAAGACGGATATGTTCCCTTGCAATCGCCACCGAGACACATCCCAAGGCATCCGCATAGCACGGGAGACGTGCCACGTGAGCCTTGACGTAGAGCCTCGGCGAAACGACGATGAAGTCGGAGAAGCCGTCGGGTCGCAATCGCTTGATCCTGTCGGTGTGCATGTGAGTTTGAGGTTGCTCGTGGCGATGATTCGGATCCTGTATCCCTTCCCGCGGTTCGGTCAACGGACATGCAACCCTTCTCCACCGCCGCCAGCATAGCTTTCTCAGCTCGAGCGTGCCAGTACTGCCAGCGCGCACGGAGGTCTGGACGGTCTTCCTCGTTGCTGTCATGGTAAGGACCAATCTCGGGAGCCACCAGCTCTTGCATCAAGGCCCTCTCTTCTGCCGTGGAACCCTGCTCAGGATCACGGGCAGCCGTGTGTTGCATTCGTGTAGGGGGTACGTTCACGAAGTGCACGTGCAGCTCGTAGCCGACCAGTCCGTGGTGATGCACACCCGGCAGGAAATTGGTGGCAGGCTGGATCGGGGCAGGGCCGTCGCCCCAGTGCATGGCTCGCGTAGGTGATGTGTCTGCGACTGTGGTCGCGGGATCCACTCCCGAACGCGTGGTGCACATGATCCAGGAGGTGGGCATCGTAGCAGAAGTCGGGCGCCAGTTCAGATCTCCGATCATATACAAGGGACGTCCCGAGTGGCCCAACGCTTGAAATCTCTCGAATGCTGTCAGGGACCATGGACGATCCACTTCCGTAGGCCCATGCAACGAGACGATGGAAGCTGACGGTGTGCGGATGCCCACTCCACGATGTTGTATGGCCACAGACGTGCACACCTTCCCTTTGTGTCAAATCCTCGATCAACTCCTCGTGTAGTCTGGGAGGGAGACGGCTCCGGGAAAACCGTGCTCCATCCGAACATGGCGTCAAGCTGGAGGGCCCACTGCGGTCGCTGTTCACGATGCCGTGCCTCTCGCAAGCAATGACACCCGTAGATTGGAGGATAGTGACGAGCCTGGCTTTGGACAAAACTGTAACACTGACCACGCATACTTTCAGCAAGGGCGGCGAGTCATCAGGCAGCTCGCGCGGCTCCTCATCAGGCTCGTCGTCGGCAAGTAGATCTGCCATGCGGCATCGCTTGACGGAAGAAGAACTTCCCATGGACGGAGTCGGCCTTCTAGGGGTCGACGCAGCGCAGGAGGCCTCTGGCGTAGGCCCAAGCCAACCTGGAGGTGTAGCCGTTGTCGGTTCCACGACGGCCCTGCACTGCTGAAGCAAAGCATTTTGCCCCAGAAGTATGGAGGCTGAGGACGTCGAAGCACGCGGCGCGGCCGCTGTCGGAGTAGCCGTGGTCGGTGCCACGACGGCCCTGCACTCCTGAAGCAAAGTATTTTGCCCCAGGAGTGAGGTGGCTGAGGATGTCGAAGCCGTAGTCGGCGTCGGAGACGTCGCAGCAACCGAAGATGAGGACGACGAGACACGCTGGCGTCTGTGGGTGTGGGGGGACCCCGAGCCCGCAGACCTAGGAGAAGGCGGTGATGGCAACGTGAAGCGCGCCTTCTTCCCTGGCGGCGTAGTTCCAGGGCCAGCCTCTCGAGCTCTCCGCTGCTGCGCCAGTGGCCTTGGCAGCGGCAAGCTCTCGGCGTGCCTCGGGCGCTTCGCCTCAGGCTCCCGAGAGGCTCGGCCGCCTCCCAGGAGCGGGCCCCGTCACGATGACGTCGAGGCCTCCGCGGGCCTCCTCCTGAGAGGGGGCGGCCGCGAACCCAGGGGACCCAGACGGACAGGAACATGTGGATCATCCTTGGCCTCAGACACCCGGCGGATGGTCTGCTTGCGGCCGTAACGGTCGTGGTAGGATGCGTAGTAGCCTTTTTTCTTCGAGAGCGCTTGGCCCAGCTCTGCTTGACGCGACGATGCTGGTCATTGATAATGGTCTCCGCGTGCTCTGAGCCCACCAGCCTGGCCATGGCCGCCTGGAAGGTGACACCTGGAGGCCGGTGTCGTCACGGGATCTTCTCGAACTTGCTCAGGACATTGTTCTTGCCGCCTTTGCTGCGCGTGAACAAGGTCTGCATCGTGTGAGTGGATTGTCGGGTGTGGCTGGGGTCGGCGAGCACGTCACGACGTCCATGTCGTGGGAGAGCACAGCGCGCCAAGTAGAAAAGAGTCGCCATGCTTTCTGCTGCTTGCCTCGGCGCATCGCTGCTGCAGCAAGGCCTCCAGCACCAAATCTCACTATGCGAGCCCTGGCATGCCCGCCAGTGAAACCTCGCCTGCTTCCGAATATCAACGCATGCCTTACCAATGAGATCTGGCTTCCAACCACACGGGCAATTCCGATGTACATAGCTATCATGACGTGGAGTGAGTGCAGCAACCTCCTGGGCCCCTGCTTCATCCCAAGCCCAAGAACACTCTGGACCCCCCGAGTCGACAAAAGCTGGGCCTTCGCCTTGGGGGACGTCCGGCTGGCCCTGGAGGGTCTGTTGGACTTCGTCTTCACCCTCGAAGCCGTCATGGACGCTGTCGGCTGTAGACCCAACATGCTGCGAGCACCCCTGGACGAAAGAGACTGTTCCCGCAGAGCCTGTCGGAGTAGCCAGGCCCAGCAGACTGCGAGCCTCGCCTGATGATAAAGATTCCGTCCCGCGACCACCAGTGAAGTGATGAGGGTATGGCTTGGACCATTTTCGCCACTCTGTCCCCACGTCAGCGGGCACAGGCACAGTTCCCAGAAGATGCTCGTAGCGGCCGTCCTCGAGGGTCAGCCAGGACTTCTTGAAGGTCTTGCTGTTGGCAGGGGCCGGGAACATATGCCACTGGCCCTGCTGCTGCTTCCATACCTGGAAGTCCGTGCTCAGCGCCTTGGCCACGGCCGTGGCAGCACGTCAAGTCGCGCATGTCCCCGCCTGTGTCTGGGCATGTGCTTCCTCCTTTGCAACCTTCATCTTCAACATCTCGGCAGCCACCGCCTTCCTCCAGGTGACCTGCAACTTCCCTCCAGGGCCCAAGGTCGTCGGGCTTGAGGGGCTTGTGATTCGTCTTGCTTGTGTGCGCGTGATATCTGGAACAACAGTACGAGCAGTCCCCTCCTCCTCCTCCTCCTCCTCCTCCTCCTCCTCCTCCTCCTCCTCCTCCTCCTCCTCCTCCCCGCAATCACGCTTCTTGAAATACGGGTTCCGAGGTGGCGGGTCGAGAGCCTCCGGTGCCTCTTTGGCCGTCTTGGGCGTCTTGGGCTTGGGCTGGATCGGCGGCGGCGTACCCTCCGCGTCCTCAGCGTCCATGATGGTGTCGCTTCCCTCGTCCTCCTCCTCCTCGTCCTCCTCCTCCTCCTCGTTCTCCTCCTCCTCCTCCTCCTCCTCCTCCTCCTCCTCGTTCTCCTCCTCCTCCTCCTCCTCCTCCTCCTCCTCCTCCTCCTCCTCCTCCTCCTCCCGTCTTCAGCGTCCATGATGGTGTCGTTTCCCTCGTCGACGTCGCTTGGGGCCGTCGCAAACCCTTCAACATCGCCTCGGCGGCGATGTTGAAGGGCTTGCTGTCCCCCACGCCGTCGTAGGAGCTTTCGTCGGTGGAGGCCGACGGTAACCGCGGCGTGAGGGAGCAAGTGTACCGGTGATACCCGACTTGAACTCCATCACCTGGCCATTGACAAGCGTCTCGAGATCACCTCGAGGAACCAGTTACGAGTCCCACACCTCGTGACGCTCGAGACATTCTTGAACCCGCGATCGACTGTTCAAGCTCGTCCTGGGCCCACGATGCTGGCGTACGTTGTAGGATCCATCTCGGCTGAATACCGGCAGCTACGACGGAAGAAGAAAGAACTCCCAGCGCACTGTTCTCGCTAGGCCTATGGACGACGCGTCCTTTGGTTGCCACTGAGTCTTGCCTGTACCCGTTGGGAGTACGAGGACTTGCCCTCGTCGCCTCTAAGCTTGTGCCACACAGGGACCAGCGTCGGCCTTTGCTGGTTCAGGAGCACTCCTGCGGGCAGCGAAAAATTGAGGAGATCATCAACCTGGGACGCGGCAGCGATCAGGATCGCAGTGACCTCTGTCTCGTACGCCATCGCCCCTTTGGTCTTCAAGATGTGCTTCGAGAGCTCGGAATTGAGGACCAACGAGGCCACCGCCACGGGCTTCTCGTTCGCCTGCTGAAAGCCAGTCCTCGGCGGAGTCCCTGGCGATAAGTGAGCCTGGCTCTGGCAGGCTTCTCGGTGGGAGTGATGATCGGAGCGTCATCCTTCACCCCCGTCGGTAGGCCAGCTCGCAGTGGAGCTCGCTGGGCGACATGCAGCACCTGTGCGGAGATCTGGGTGGCGCTGCCGTTGGACCACTTAACAATGATCGTCTTCTCATTGCACAGCACGTAGGTAATATCTGGCTGCACGCCTCTCGCCCGCCATCAGTCATGTACAACGTCATGCTCCTTGCAGCCCTGGCATGCCACCACAGGAAGGCATTCTGAATCATACTCCTTGTCTTCGATGTGGGGCGCCTGCCACACTGGTGCAGATCCCCACGGGTGGGACAGAGGCTCGACCGTCTTGGACTCGGCGGCAGGCGGCTCAGAAGAGGCATCTGCAGCGGAAGGTAGAGTCGTCGTGCCCGCGCTGTTTTGCAAGAAGTGTGCCAGTGTGGCCACGAGCTTTTTGTGGGTTGGCGGCTTCGCCTGCTGGTCGGCCAAGTGGATGAGGCGTTTCAGACGGAAAAGCAAACGTGGGTCACGTCAGCGTCCGTCATTTTGTGTAGGCACGGCCTTCATCTTATTATTTAATCGCTTCGCTCATGCCGCCGGCCCTGGAGCCCTCTTTAGGGCCTCTTGGGGGCCTCTTGGGGACCTCTTGGGAGTCTCTTGGGGCTCCTTGGCGGCGTTTTGGAGGCTCCCAGGGCCTCTTGGGGGGCTCTTGGGGGTAGTCGATTGCGGCTCCCCCCTCGGAGGCCACGATCCTCGTGAGGGGTGTCGAAAAATACCCTCCCCTGGAGTGGTCTGGTGGCTTCTCCCGGGCTTCTCTCGGGACCTTGCCGGGGTACTTTTCGTCCGGGGGCCCCCAGGGGCCGCTCCGCGCGCGCGAACTAGAAATATTGTTAACAAGTTACCGGAGATCTTAGCACGCCTCTGGCCAGTTGGGCCGGCGAATTATTGTTATTATTATTGTTATTCCTCTTCTTCTTCTTCGTCTTGTTTTTTCTTCTTATCAGTATTCTCCTTCTTTGCAGCTGGCTCTGTCGTCAGCGAGCTGCCACCCTTGACCTGGGCATCCAGGTCACGCACCGTCGCCTCCAACGCAACAAGTTGTCGAGATGTAGCCACCTGAAGGTTCCGCCATCTCCGCTGTGAATACATACCAGTCTTCGCTCCGCGCAACAGCGGGTCATCAGCCCGAAATGCGTTGGGGGCCTCTGGAAGGGCCTGCAAGGTCGGGAGCACCTGGAAGCCGAGGAGGACGGTACCATCCGAAGCCACCAGAGAGTGGACTTGCATGGTGTTCTGGGTCACCTCCGTGACGCGTTCGCTGAACTTCGCAGTGTCGGAGGACATCCCATCATTTCCATCGTGGATGGGGTTCAGCTTCAATGTTGATAATTTATCTCTCTCTTTCTCTCGCTCTCTACCTCTCTCTCTTTTCTATATGTCCCTCTCCATCTCTCTCTCTCTCTCTCACTCACCTCATTTACCTGCTCATCATTTATACCTTGATCTTCTTTCCGCCTCCGAAGCTCGATATTTTATGGCCGAGCTTCTCGTCCCACGCTTGTGGACCCTCAACACCTGCGAATGGCGAATTCATGGGCTTTGCTGTTTGTGCGGGTCAGTGGTCCGCAGGGCTGGGCCCCGTCTCCGACGCATTACCGTGCTTGCCCAACCCACGAGGTCTTGGCACTTGTGGGCCCAGCACTCGCGGGGCGACCCGGACCTCCGACGTCAGGTGTCCGGTTGCGATGTGGAGCCCGCGAGGCCGAGACCCCTCCCCAGGGCTGGCGGCCCATCCCGAGCTCACTGTCGTCGGCCCTGAGGCCCGGCACGGGTCCCCGGAGGCCGGAGGACAGTGCCACACGAGCATTTGGCCTCGCGCATTGGGGGGGCGATGAATAAAGGGGGGGGGGGAGGGCAGCGAGGGCTGCAGAAAAATGAGGGAGGGGGCATCGAGGGCTGCAGAAAAGGGGCAATGTAGGGGGCCCCACCGGGGCCACAAAAGTGGGCGCCTTCCCCCCCCCCCTCCCCCCTCCTTGTTTATTGCCCCTCGATCAACTCACGCCCGCAAGAATCCGTCGTGATGGATGTGTTTCACGACTTCCGTCGCCGTTGCCGCGACCCCACCCCCTTCCGCCCCCTCAGGGGCAGTGTTTTTTGGGGGGGATTCGCTCAGGGGGGGATACATTGACCCCAATCGCCCATTCATCGCCGATGGGGGCCCCATTGCCCACGCCGCCCGTGACCGTTCGGGTTTGCCATCGGGGGCCTATCGCCGATTTGCTGGCAATGTATCGCCGATTCCAGGTCGATGTTTCTCCCATCCCCGCCCCCCCTTGAGCTGGTCTGCCCCCCCCCCCGCGCAGTGGCCGACCAGGACTACTGCTGCGGCGGCGAGCTGCAGACCGCGGTCACGAAGAGCCGCGAGGCCGCCGTGGCCGCCATCGTTGGCGGCGTCGGCCTCGGCCTCGGCGTCGTTGGCGTCGGCGTCGTGAGCTAGTCGTCGTGGCCCTGGGCGTCGTCGGTCCTCGACGGTGTCTGGAGCTCCGACAGTTCATGTTTATCCCGATTTTCCTTCAAATTTGCTCGGGGACGCAGTCGTAGTCGGCGTCGGTCGCTGGTCGTCGGTCGGAGACGCCGTCGTAGTCGGCGACGGTCGCTGGTCCGTCGGTCGGTCGGTCGGTCATTGTCGGGGGGATTGCGCCGTCGTCGCTGTCCGGTGTTGACGTCGTCGTCGTCGTCGTCGTCGTCGTCGTCGTCGGCGGCGGCGTGATCGTGGGACGGCGGCGTCCTTGCAGTCGTCGTCGTCGTCGTCGTCGTCGTCGTCGTCGTCGTCGTCGTCGTCGTCGTCGTCGGGTGAGGCCCAGCGCCGGAGCGGGAGGGGATGGATGAGGCACCGTTTCAGGCCTTCCCTACGGGGATCGACCCGCATCGCCGATGCATTGGGGATGCGGCGCGATTTGGATCCCAATCTTCTCCATGCGGGCGTCGCTGATGCATCGCCGATGCATCGCCGATGTGGTGCGATCTACTCTCTACTCTGGCCCTCTCTGTTATGACCCTAGCTCTCCTGGCCCCACTTGGGAGGCCTCCAGTCGTGCCGGAGGACGGAGGAGGAGGAGGAGGACGCCGTCTTAGAGGATGGAACAGGGAAGGCACGGGATAGCGCTCAGAAGATCTCTGACCCTCTACGAGCACGACTGGCCTCTCTCCCAGCACTTCGTAGGCGGTGGACTCGCAACGAGGTGTCCATGCGGCACGCCTCGGGGAGATGGAGGCGTCGCGACCTGCGCACCGCCTCCGCTGCCCCACGCACAAGGCCCCCAGCCCCGCGGCTGCGGCCATGGCGAGATGCGGCACCACCGCGGGGAAGGTGGTATATGGAAGTTGTGGACTGGCTGCCCCCGCGTCAGCCGCCTGTATCGAGGAATAACAACGGTATAAGTATAAACTTTCCGAGCCCGGCACGGATTTCTTGGATCGGCATTGGGCTTCCCCCTGGCGGCGCCTCCGTCGCCTCGGGGGAGGGGGTCAGCGCTGATCCGAGAATTCTGCGGAATCCCGATAGTTAATGTTGATGCAGTTTGTTTTTCTTCCATTCTATTCGCTCTAAGCTCATGGGAGTTCTCTAGATCAGGGCGTCTGCCCACTGATCCTTGTTCATGGTCTCCTGATCCCAGCGCTTATGGCTGCTGTTGCTGGACACCGCCTCCTTCTCCCACGTTCTCGCAACCCTGAACCCAGCCCGAAGGCCTTGTGCTCGGGGTGAGCCTCACCTTGTGCTGGCCCTCCACGCCAGCGAAAGTCGTCGGTCGCTGGCTGGACGCCCTGACTTGTTGATTCCGCGGATGGGCGTGCCGCCGGCCGCTGGCCGCAGAATCTCACTTCTCCCACGGGCCGCAGTTTTGCATTCTTGCCCCTCGAACGCGGCGGCTGCCTTCAGCATATTCGTCACTCCCACCGTCTGCTGCTGGTCCGGCGTGCTCTTGCTGAGAACGCTGATGCCGTCATGCAGAACAAGGTCTCGAGGGCAACGATTGTCCCGAGGTTCGCGTTTCCGTCATGCCAAGCATTGTGCTCCAGTTCCGGCCCTGGCAAGGAGCTCCTAGGAGAGGCGACACCACCCACCACCCACCAAACCACCCCAACACAACCCGAAGGCCTCAATTTGCCCTCCATTTCCAGTGGTGGGGGCGTCGGGGATTATTGAGAAAACACATGGAACCCGTACCCCCCCCAACCCGAAATTCGAGTCAAATTCGGGTCGTCGGGTTGGGTTGGGGTGGTCTGGTAGGTAGTCACCACCACCACCACCACTACCACCACCAACACCACCACCACCACCACCACCACCACCACCACCACCACCACCACCATCAGGGGGGGCACTTCCAGCGATGCGGGGGGCACGCTGTCTCCCCGAGCTGGAGATAATGGATGTCTCGAGCAAGAAGGGTCAAGCAGTGGCGAAGCGTCCTGGCTCGCCTATAGGCCGAGCAAAGAATGTTCTAAGAACCTTTCGTGGTCTCCACGAAATGTTCTTAGATCATTCACATCGGCTTTATGTCCTAAGGATATTGTTTTTGTTCTTAGAACATTGTTGGGTTCTAACAACATTTCGTGGTAGGCATATAGGAATTCCGGGACGGTCGGTCTCTGTTCAAAAGGGGGGGAACATAAATTCGGGAGAATCCTCCCTGGCGCCTCGCGCTGGTGGTGGTGTCGCCTTTTCCTGTCGCTACGGACAGGCGGGCGGGGGGCCTTCGGGGCCCCCCAAACGGTGTGGTGACCACACCGCGAGGTGGAACATTGGGGTTCGGGGTCATCGCATCGCACGGTTTGGGGACTCGGGTCGTTCTCCGAGCACGTCTAGGGCGACCATGGCCTCCCCCGTCCCAGCGCCGTGTGGTGACGGACCGTGCGGTGGGGTCACCGCACCGTCTCGGGACACCCAATTCTTTCATGCCCATCTTTGTGCTCGGTAGCAAATCATGGGAGCCTGGCGCACCCTGCTAATTCGTCTTCAGCGTCTGGGAGTCGATGAGGTAGCGCCGATTCCGCGTCGCTGAGCGTCGAACATTGTCGATTCGCAAGAGCCGACAAGATGGTGTGGGAGGCTCCCGTGAGCTGTCGCCGAAGTTGTTCCAGCGCTGACCCTGGACTGCCAGCCCTTCCCAGACAGGCAGGAGGCGCGCGGGGAGGGACTGGCCAGCCGAGCCCGCCCCGCGAGGCTCGCCAGGGCCTGCCCGAGGAGTTCGTGTCCGACGTGATGCAGCAGGCAGGGCGCCCCAGCCCCCTCCCAGACCTAGACTTTGATTTACGTCGGGCGTGTCCCTCTACAAGAGGCATATCCAAAGTACAGTCCAACAATAGTCTGGGGACGATGTTTCAACTATTTGTCCAAATGTTTGGAGCAGTGTTTGACGATATCTGATGTTCCTTCCAAAATCCGCCTGTAGGGGGACGTGCTCGATCTCAACCTAGACTTAGATTGGGTCAGCTGGAGTGAAACATCTCAGGGGAAATCTCCAAACAGGGGGCGGGCATCTTCAACATCTCGGGGAAGTTCCCCACCCTCAGAAGTTCATCGGGGAAATGGAACATTCGATGCTGTTCATCAAATATCTGGGGGTATCTCCAGAACATCTCGGCGGTGCAGTGCAGAAATGTTGGGAATTCATGTGGCAACGTTGCGGAAAATCCTTGGCGTGCAAGCAAGTCCGGAACATAGTAGGAACATCTCCCCAGAGGCCCCAGAGAGATTTGGTTGGAGATTTTTGGAGCCAGGATGTGTTGTAGATTTTTGGGGTATTTCATGAAGACGCGAAGATATGTTGGAGATTCGTGGGAAAATCTTTGAGAGGTTTGAGACTCGTGGGAAGATGTTTTGGATATTCGAGATTCGCGGGAGATGTTTGAATTGACCTTCGCGATTGATATTTAGATTCGCAAGGGATTTGGGATTCGCCTGAGATTTGAGGTTCGCCCTGGATCCCGACCTCCTACGGAAAATCTTTCGAGGCGGATCGGCCCGCGAGGGTTCAGGGGCCCAGTGTCAAGCAGTTGCGACGCTTTGCTCTCTGGGTTTGCCGATTTTGGCGAAGCGGGTCGGTGCTGCATGAGCCCCCCGCCGACGCCCTTTTCTTTCCTGTCGGGCTTTCTGGCGCGCAAAGTGCCTCGGCCAGTCATTGGAGGTCTCGCGCCAGCATTTCGGGGGCGTCCAAGATCGGGGAATCGTAAGGCTCGAGTTCGCCATGATTCTTGTTTGCCCACGATTTTTGATGGGCTCATGTTTAGTTTTGAAGGTCCAGTGTTATTGAGATCTGTGCAGCGGGAGCTCGCGTCAAATTTCAGAATGGGGTCTCGCCTTGCTCGAACTGTCACCGCGCGAGGAGAGCGAAGAGTGCTTTGGAGTTTCCGAAATGGTGGCTGGGGCACTGCCGGTTGAGCTGGTGTGCAGGAGCAGTCTAGAACAGCGGGATCATTCGCCCGAAATTCTTGACGCCGTTTCGTAATCCCAGATGGCGTTCAGCGGGGCGGGGTCCTGCGTGGGCCGGCCGCAAGAGCGGCCCACCACGAGATAGGGGCCGATTAGGCCTGTTTGCGTAGATTGTAACTGCGCAGGCAGGCATCGGCAACCATATGCGCACTGACCAGAAAGTTGTTCATTCAGAGGGCCAAGGTGGGGACGGGGCGAGAGGGGACGCTCTCCCCAGCGACCCACATCAGGGCCCACTTCGATCCGATGGTCCGATTCGACGTCGATTCCAGCCAGTCCGATCTGACTCGATTCCGATGTTCGGACGATCCGATGCGGCCCGATGTTGTTATGAGCGTTCTTGTTGTGCATCTCGTCGCGGCCGATCCGCTTCGGTTTCGACTCCCTGCCCATGTGGCCCGATCCGACGCCGATTTCACTTCCATACCGATGCGGGCCGATCCGACGAACGTGCCGATCTGGTCCCACCTCCCTGGTCCGATCGATGCCAGCTGACCCTGAGGTGCTCCTCGCCATGGCGCACGTCCACTGCCGCGGCATCGTCGGACCCACGCCCACTGCGCTCGAGGGGGGAGGAGTTCCCCAGACCTCGTCGCGTCGTGCAGCATTTTTTTTGGTCGCGGGCTCGTCGAACGCCAGAGTCGGTAAGGCTGGACCGGGATGCGAAAGAAAACAAATGAGCACCGGCAGTGAAAAGCGCGGCGGAAGGTTTTGGCTCATTTTCGGCCTCCGGGGGCCATCGCCGGGCCTCGGGGCCGGCAGCCGAGTCGCCAAACCCTTGCTACCCCGTTTCGTCCGCCCCGAAAGTTGGTGCGAGGATCGAGAAAGACGAGGAGGAGGAGGAGGAGGAGGAGGAGGAGGAGTTTCGAGGATTCTGGCATTTGACGGTTTGAATATTCCAGAGGCTTACGCCATTCCGCCGACCCCGATAAGAAAGAGATCGCGACGATCGCGGAATCCATCTTGGTTTCTTGGGCCTGAATACATGGGTCCATCATGCGGCCCTCCTGGGGCGCATTACAGGCCCTCTTCGCCACCTGCTGGTGGCCTACGGGATTCTCTTGGGACGGAGGGTCAATGTTCATTTGTGAGGCCTTTTGGGGCTTCATGGGGACATGTTGAGGGTGTCTAGATGTTTCTTGTGGACCTGTGGGGGCTTTCTTGAGGCCTCTTGGGGGGTTCTTGGGCGCCTTCCTGCGGTTTCGGGGTCATTCTTGGGGCGGAGGGCTCGAAAGGTGCATTCGACTTACATCTCTTGGGCCTCTTTTAGAGCCCCGTTGGGGTCCCCTTGGGTCGTCTTCGGCGCCTCTTGGGCCGTTTTTGGGTTTTGGGGGGCCCTCAGGACGGCTTGTTGCGTCGCTTTGGAGAGATCTTGCGGTGTTCGAGAGTCTTGGACTGAAGAGGAAGACTGCGAATGTTTTCAACAAATATGCGATTTCCTGAGGCAGGCGCTGGGGCGATTTCTGACTCTGGGGATCATCGTGGAGACCCTGTAGGACCCGTCCTGAGGCGTCTTCGAAGTCTCTTGGGCCGTCTTGGTGCTATCGTGAGCGTCTTTGAGGCTTCCTCGGCGTGTTGGAGTCCACTTAGAGCAAGCTTAGATGGAATATGAGGAATGTTGGAGACCACGGAGATAGGACTTGGAGGCTCTGAAGGCCCCCCAGCGTGCGTTGGCGAGCTCCTCCCCCTGGGGGGGGCGCCCTCACTAGCGATTTAGGACCGGGGAGAGGGGGAATGGGGGAGGGGGACAGTAAATTATTTCACACGCCTTGTCATCCCTAGCAAGCGGGGGTTGGCGGATGTTCTGGCCTCCCGGAGGCTTCTCGTTACAACGGCTGATTCCCCTTTGAAAATATGGTAGGAACGCAGCTTGGGTATCGAGTCGTACTTCCTGGGCCCAGGCATCTTGCGCTTCGGAAGTTTTGTTGAGACGGCCGGTTTCGGATTTTGGGCCATCGCAACCAACAAATTACGCATTGGGCCAGGATAGGGGTCGAAAGGTCCAGGGGCCTATGTCCTGAACAGATCGAGCAACTTGATATCTTCGTTCTGTCTTTGTCCTTTGGCGTTCCCCTTGTCTGCATCGTACTCTCGGGTCTCTTGCTCCTGATCGTCATCCATCCTTCGGGCCGGACGCAAGGGGGGGATAGGGAAAGGGGGGGTACGAAATCTGCTGCATGCAGCTGGTTTCGGCCCCATCGAGGGGCCCATTCCTCGATACATGGCCGCCGCCTAGCGCCTGGAGGCACCGGGAAAATTAGCTACGTAAGCTGATTCTCAAACTCCCCCTTTGGTATCCCCCCCTTTCGCCCGGCCTGAATCCTGTTCCTCGCCCTCCCCATCTTCGGGCCTCCCTGTAGTCGTCTTTCTCGGTGTGTGAATATCGGTGTGCCTCCGTGCTCTTTTCCTCTGGCTGCTTTGCGAGGTGCTTCCCTTTCATATACCCCCCTACCCATCGTCTTCGTCGCCCTACTCTGCCTCCTGAGTCCTCTGTATCCTTATCTTTGTTCGCGCCCTCCTCATCCATCCTTTCTTGTCATTGTCATCCGCATCGTAATCCGCATCGTACTAATGAGGCAAAGCTATGACTGCTGCTTTCATGTGTTTGGGCGCGGCCGTGATAAACATGTGCGCAAGGGATTCCGACTGCTGGTTTTAGTCTCGATATCCGTGTTGGCCGTGGGGGCCTCGTGGAGGCAGTTTGGGGCCTCTTGGGGACCGGGCCTTTGGGCCGTCGGTCTTGGGGATCTCTTAGGCCGTCGGTCTATTGGGCCGTTTTGGGGTCGTCTTGGGCCGTCTTGGAGCGTCGGAAAGTCGAAAGGCGAGAACGCGACACTTCTTCAGACATGCACGGGGAATCAACGACTTTGCCTTTGGGGGCCCTCTTGAGACACCTCTTGGAGGCCTCTTGGGGCGCCTTGGAAGCCTCTTGCGCCATCTTGAGGCTATCTTGGGCGTCTCTGAGCGATCGTTCGGCGACTCGGGGCCCTCTTGGACCGTCTTGGGGGCCTCCTGGGCCGTCATAGCAGCCTTGGAGAGCCCCAGGAGGCGCCATGTCCGCCCAGGGACCCCCCTTGGAGTATGGCCAGTGCGGCCCAGAGTGATGGGTCCCTTAGAAGATTACATAAACCTTACCAGATAGGACTTGGCATTCCAGCACGCGTCAACGTGCCAGGGGGCACGGTGGCGAAATATGTTAAGCTTCGGACCCACGCGGGCACGCGCCCGCAGAATGCATGCGTGCGTTTTTCTTCCAACGGGCCAGCCGACGTCAATTGTGAACAGTGTTGGGTTTCTGCTTTGCGCAAGACGATGCCAATGCGTGCCGATGAATGTAGGCTTGAGTGCGCAGTTTATGCGAGTTGAGACCACAGAAGTCATATGATCGACATGTGTACTGCGCGGGGGCAAGAAGGCCGGGCAGGGCAGACGAGATCAGGCAGGACGATGAACGGAAAGGGAGAAGGAGGGCGGAGGAGCATGACGAGTTGAGTCGGAAGAACGTGTCACATCGCCGTCCATCGTAAGAGCCACGTCGCCACATCGACAAGTTATGATCAATATGATAATGAAGCGCCATCTGCAGCGGGTTCTGTGGATGTCTTCAACAGTTGTCAGTTGCACGTCCTTTGGGCAAGCGTGAGCCACACGCACGCATATACACATGCATGTTTGTGTGTGCATTACGTGCATGCGTGTGCAGACATATGTATTTGCACACAAGAAGGATCTTGCGTGGCGACGCTGCGCATCACCTTTTCCATGTCCTCCCTCTCGCCCTCCGTCATGTTCCCTTGCTCTCTCTCTCTCTCTCTCCTTAGCTTCCCTGGTGGGGCCAGACGTACATTAGAAAGGCCCTGAGTATCCTCCATTTCCATCCCCCACCTCAACATCATCTTCCCCTTCCATCTCTCCTTCTCCCCCTCCGCTTGTTGCCTTCCCTCCTCCTATGCTTCCGTCGTTGCTTCGAATTAACTATACGGGCTCATCAGCACATGCGTGACGAATAGGCAGCCGCGTCGCATCGATAGTTTTCAGCATATGTGCCTGCGACGGCTCGTCGGAATGACGCCTCGGAAATTTCCGCGCATGTGCGACCAGGACCTTTTCGCTAGAGCAGGATGCGATGCAGCCAGCTTGCAGTCCTCTTCATCCCTACTCCAGCTTCTCGATCGTGTGCTACGTACAGGTCAGGCGACGTGGTGTGACCACCTCACCAATCCTGGCCAGGCCGAGGATAGGTGTACAGTTTATAGGGCTTCCAGTCTTGGCCGGGGAAGCGCAGGCTCCGACCTTGAGAAAGCTTGACTCACCATCGGCTTGGCCATGATTGGCGAGCTGGCCAGCTGACGTCGCACGAACTGAGCCCGCTCATCCATTCAAAGCTTGCCCTCTCGCCGCCCGCCTGACGCCAGCCACAGAATGACATGCGAGGTGAGTCGGCCGCCCACACAGAAAATAGGTCATTCCCGAAATAACCGAGCATGCGCCATGCATTTTCAGCAGCATGACAGCCGGCATCCTCGACGGCCTGTTCCCTTCAGCCGAAGAGTGAGCAAGAGTGACCTCTGGCGGCTTGCCGATCGTGGAGTCCGATGCGACAGTAGCGGCCTGCGTGCTGGGGTTCCCCACCCCCCACTCCTCTCCCTTGCTGCAGGTTTATGCGGCGATGGCGCGCCAGCGACGCCTGCGAAGGCGTTCAAGGTTGAATTCTGCGACGCGGAAGCACCGATGGACACGGTAGCGCCATTGAACCCGATTGAATTTAATTTTGAACGATCGGGGCCGCGATAGATTTAAGGTTGAACGATCGACGTTATGTCAAGAACCTATGCGCGCGCCAATTCCGCGCACGAACCTACCGTGCCGCCGTGGTTTTCCTCTTTCCGCTCCCCTCTCCTCCCCTCGCCCCCACCCGCTCCTCCCCCTCTCCCCCTCGTCTCTTCCCAACCGCCTCCCGCGCCTGGGTCCGTACTGCTGCGCGCAGAAGAGGTCCACTCCGATGTCAAGTCCGCCAATATCATGCTCATGCCCAGCCTGGAGTAGCAGCCCCCCCCCGCAGAAGAAGGATCATGATCCGAGGCTTGGATTTTGTACACATCCACCGCCCTGGGCACCGATCTTCCTAGACATCGGGGGGTGGTGGAGAAGGGTCCATTCGGGCCCCCTCGGGCCCAGGTGTATTCGTATCCATCTCCCCCTCGATTCCCCTGGCGTCCTCGGAGATCGGCTATCCAGGCAGTGGATCTGTCGTATTCCTGTCCTCGCACCAAAGAAAGGATCCGGGGATCTACACAAGACAACGCAAGCCGCGAAATCCACGCGACAGATGGGGCCGACACCCAGACCACATCTTGGATCCGATGTTTTTTCCGACCGAAGTTCTTGAATTGCAGCCTGTTGCAACGCGCTTTGCTGAGCGCATTGGCCGTGCACGCGCCCACGACCGCCGTTGCATGGATACGATTGCGGCGTGCAGAACACCATGTATATAACCACAACACGTATTTCCAGTTAGATCGAGATTGTTCACCAGATGTATAGGGTATCTCTGCGCGTATGCGCTTTGCAAACGAGCAAGGTTTGACTAGTGAGCGTGCATGAACATCTGATGAGCTGACATCGTGGTAGCATGTAGTCTTCAGCATAGCTATTATCCCAGCATTTCCAGCAGGGCGCACCATCCCCGAATAAGTACCTCAGGACCTCCAAGGGCGGGGATCGTCTCATATTGAAGGGTTGTCGAGGTATCAACTATCACTGCCCATGTGGACAATGCCGACCTTTCCTTTAACCAAACCATGTATTGGTATGCTACCTGTTTGCTTGTGTGTAAGTGTGTCAGTCCTCCTGCGCCCTTCCTCTTACCGCGCAATACCGCTGCATGTCCCTCGTTGTGTGGTATCAGCCCATATCTTGCAGCAAACCTAAGCGCAACGGCACTAGGATGGCACGGGGAATTGTCGACGCTTTGCGCAAGCCCACTAGCTCATCCAGGCGAGCTTCCGCGACCAGATCTCTCGGAGCCATCTTGGGTCTCTTTGAGTGAGGGTCCACGAAGCCTCTCGGGGCATCCTTGAAGCCCTTTTGGAGTTTCCTTTGGGCTTTCTCTGGGCTCTTTGGGGGGCGGGGGTCTGGGAGGCCTCTTGCGGCCGCCTTGGGCCCCATGGCTTTAAAAAAGATGGGGTGTCATGAATTCAGGCCCCCCCCTTCCGATGCTCAAACATTGTGTATTGAGGTCTTCCTGGAGCGCTCATGGGCGCTCTTGGGGCCCTCTTTGGGCCCTCGCGGGGCTCTCTTCGAGTCATCTTGAGGCCTCAGGAGCCCATCGGAAGCGAAACAGCGAGAAGGCAAACAACCTTGATTGTTCATCGGCTGTTGAAGGATGCTGGCCTCTTGGGAGGGTCTTTGGAGTGTTCGGAGGGCACTTGAAACCGTCTTGGAGCCGTCTTGAGGCTTCTTGAATGTGTGTCGGAGGCTAGATTGATCCACCTGAGGGTATCTTGAGCCATCTCGGAGGCCATTGGGGGAGGAGAGGGGGAGATGACGAGGAGGAGGAGGAGGAGGAGGAGGAGGAGGAGGAGGAGAAGGGGTGGTGATGGCCTCGTTCTTCCTACATTCGTTCCCTCTCCCCGATCCTCCTTCATTTTCTCGTATGAATTCCCCCCATTCCTCCCTTCCCTCCAACTTGCCCCTCTCCACATTTATCCATCCTTCCTCCTCTGCGCCTCCGTCTGGAAACTTCCCAGAAGTCTCCAGACCCCGCCGCACACGCACTGCCCGGAGCCGTCGCACCCCTCCAGATGTTCTGACGCATCTCCAAAGCGTCCTGCCCCCCCTCCAGCCTCCTCGCTCTTTTTCACCCCTTCCGCTACCTCGTCACTCCTCCGTCTCCCCCAACCATTCGAGCACCCCACGCGCTTCCAGGACCCAGACACCTCTTCCGAACACGTTCACTCCGCGAAGCCTTTGAATCCTTCCAGAGCGTGCAAAGTGCCCCCCCCTCGCTCTTCGTATCCCCTCTACTCCCTCCTCGCTCCTCGTCTTCCCTCGCCATTCAGAAACTTCGGGCACTTCCAGAAGCCTCGCCGAACAATTCTCCTCGAAGCTTTCGAAAGTGCCCAGGTGTTCTGGTGAACCCCCAGCGAGTCATCCTCCTCGTTCCCCCCATCGTTGCTCCTGACATTCCCCTCCACTCTCTCCTCCCTCCTCGTGCTTCCCTCCGCCCTCCGCCCTTCGCCCTCCTCCCGATGCCTCCACGCACATACGAAACACAGAAGCAGCACAACAAACTTCGGAGTTTCCTTCGGAGTGCCGTGCACCGCCCGAGACGCCAGCAGAAGGTGCCCGAGACCTCTTCCCTCCCCCTCTACTCAGCCTTGTACTGTGCTCCCCCCCCCGCCCTCCGCGCGCCCCCGCCCCCCCCCCCTCCTCACCCCTTTCTCGCTGCCCCCCCCTCCTTACCCCCGCCCCCCCCCCCCTCCCCGAGTTCTCGCTGCCCCCTCCCTCCTTCCCTCCTCCCCCACCCATCTCTTTCTTGTTGACCCTCCCGTATCCCCCCTGCACCCCGCCTGACGGACGAGAACGACGGCGGCGACGGCGGCGGCAGCAGCGACAACGACCGCGGCGGCGGCGACGGCGGCGGCGCCGCCGAGGGCCTGCCATGGGCCCCCGCCCGCCCGAGGGCACCCAGAGACCCTCTCCGAGGGCCTCCTCCGCCGAGCCTCACGGGGGGCCTCCCGAGGGCGCCTGCCGAGAGGCCTTCCGAGGGCACCGCTCCGAGGGTCCCCCGAGGGCACCCCCCCCTCGCGGATCGGGGGGGGAGGAGGACGATCGAGGATCAAGTCGGATCGCGGAGGGAGGAGGCGGTTCAGGATCGAGGATCGAGGATCGCGGAGGGGTCGAGGAGGAGGATCGAGGATCCCCTGTCGTCGTCGTCGTCGTCGTCGTCGTGGTCGTCGTCGTGGTCGTCGTGGTCATGGTCGTGGTCATGGTCGTTGTCGAAGTCGTCGTCGTGTTGGTCGTCGTCGTAGTCGGTCGTCACCCGGCGGCGGTCGCCGTGATCGGTTGTCGCCCTCGTCGGTCGTCGGTCGTCGTCGGTGCCCCGAGAGCCGAGGTCGTCGTCGTCGTCGTCGTCGTCGTCGTCGTCGTCGTCGTCGTCGGTGCCCCCCTGGGGCACACGCCGAGGGCCTGCGCGCAGCGCGGCGCGGGGGGCGCCCCGCCAGGTCCACGATGCTGCCGGGCAGGGCGCCGGGCCCGTTCCTGCTGCGGCAGGCCGCGGGCACCGGCTCTCTCGGCCGCGGCGGGGGCGCCGCGGTCGGCGTCGCCGCCGGCGCCGTCGTTCGCCGGCGATCTCGGGCGCCGGGTGACCGCATGCCCCGGATCATCGATCATCGGCCGCGCTTCCCGATGGAGAGCTGGTTGATAATGTCTGTGCGGCCAAGACAGGCTTGGTCGGGGGAGAGGGGCGGCAAGGCCGGACTTCGTCATTGCGGGAGGAAGTGACGAGTCTAAGTTGCTATTTTCCCATGTTGAGTAGCAATAGCATCAACACGTGCGGCATGGCAACGCCATCGTCGTCGTCGACGACTTGCCGGGACACATCGTTCATTATCCCCCATCCCCCCAGGACCCCGGATTTTATTATCGCCCGGGTGTTCTTGTCAAGGGTAGTTGGTTAAAGGGCAAGGGGGGGGCGATACATTTGGGGGTGGGTTTGAGGAAACGTGTATTGATCGTGCCCTGAAGACGCCCTCAAGGGGGCCCCCTGGGGCCCAGAAGGGGTACGAAAAGTGCACGCTTCTTACCTACCATTTGATCGCCCCCCAAGAATTCACGCCCGAGGATCTCTTGCCCCTGGTCCCCGACACAGACATGCTCGCGTTTTGGCACAACAGGGAAACGTTGGAAGGCTGGCCCCGTTCGGCCTCAGCGGGCCCTCGCTGGGCCCCAGGGCCGTCAACAAAAGTATTTGGGCTGAAGCATCGGCGCTGGGGAAGGGGTCGGGGCTTCCGGGGGCCCTGCATGGTAGAAATCAAGGAGGAAGCGATTTCTGTGGCTCGGAACCCAGGGGGGGGGGAGAAGGAGAGGCGACGCCCCGCTCAAGGGTTCAAACACCCCTCTGGGTTCGAACCCGGCGGGGGCGACGACGACGGCGACGACGACGGCGACGACGGCGACGGCGACGGCGACGGCGCCGAGGGCGACGAGGACGACGATGACCATATGGCGTCGACGACGACGACGACGACGACGACGACGACGGTGGTGGAGGTTTCACTGAATGTCCCGCCCGCTTGACCGGCCTTCCTCAGAGGTTGTGGTGCATTCTCCTGCCAATTTCCTCCGCGTCACAGAGTGATGGTTACATGTCATGTCCCACACACGCCCGCCCGAGTTGACGCCCAATCAGGGAGGGAGGGCACAATTTGCAGTTAGTTTTCCGCACGCTCGGCCGGCGCTTCCGACCCTGGTTCGTTTTCTCGTTTGCTCGGCTTCTGGGTCGCGGCTTCGTTTTCTTTGGCCTTGGGTTAGTTTTCTCATTTTCTCGTTTTCTCGGCCGCTGGGTGGCGGTTTCGTTTTCTCCGACCTTGGTTCGTTTTATCGTTTCCTCATTTTCTCCGACCCTGGGTGGCGGTCTCGTTTTCTCCGATCCTGGTTCGTGGGTCGCGGTCTCGGTTTCTCCAGTCATGCTTCGTTTCCATATTTTCCTGTTTTCTCTGCCTTTTGGTCGCGGTCTGGTTTTCTTCGACCCTGGTTCGTTTCCAAACTTATTCGGTGTCTCTGCCCTTGGATCGCGGTCTCGTTTTCTCCGACCCTGGTTTGTTGTTTCATTTTCTCGTTTTCTCGGCCCCTGGGTCGCGGCGGTCTCGTGTTCTCAGACTGTTGTTCGTTTTCTCGTTTTCTCTGCCCCTGGGTCGTATTTTTTTTTTGTTTGTCGACCCTGGTTCGTCTTCTAGTTTTCCCTCTGCTCATGGGTCGCGGTCTCGTTTTCGCCGCCCCTGGTTTCAAGCAGTGGCGAAGCGTCCTGGCTCGCCTATAGGCCTACCAAAGAATGTTCTAAGAACCTCTTGTGGTTTCAACGAATTGTTCTTGGAACATTTCTGGTTGGGACTGTCTTGGTTTAGCACATCGGGCTCATGTTCTAAGAACATTTTTGTTGGTCTTAGAACGTTACTGGGTTCTAAGAACATGTCGTAGTAGGCCTATAGGAATGCCGGGACGGTCGGTCCCTGCTCAATGGTTCGTTTTCTAGTGTTCGCGTTTTCCTTGCCCTTGGGTGGCGGCCTCGATTTCTCTAATCTTTGTTCGGTTCCCCGCTTTCTCGTTTTCTCTGCCCCTGGGTGGTGGTCTCCTTGTTTCGGACCTTGGTCCGTTTTCTCGTTCTCTTAGTTAGCGCCTGGGTCGCAATCTCGTTTTCTCCGACTCTGGCCCCGCTTTCTCGTTTTCTTGGTTTCTCTGCCCCTGGGTCGCGGTCTCGGCTTCTCCGACCTTGTACAGTGTTCGATGTTTCTCGTTTTCTCTGCCCCTGGGTCGCGGTGTCGGTTTCTCCGACCCTGGCCCCCCTTTTCTAGTTTTCTCGTTTTCTCGGCCTTTGGGTCGCAGTCTCGTTTTCTCCGACATTGACACCTTTTTCTCGTTTTCCCGGCCCTTGGGTCGCGGTCTTGTTCTTCGGCCCTGGTTCGTTTTATAGTTTTCTGGTTTGCTCGGTCCTTGGGTCGCGGTCCCGTTTTCTCGGACCATGGTTCGTTGTGTCGTTTTCTTGTTTTCTCGGCCCTTGGGTCGCGGTATGGTCCTCCCAGACAGACCCTTGTTCGATTGTTGTTGTTTTTTAGTTTCTCGGCCCGAACGGCTTCGGTGGTTGTTGTTCATGTGCATTACATTGAGTGCACCACCCGACTGGACGCCCCGCGCGTCGTCGTCGTTGACGTCGTCGCCGTCGTCGTCGTCGTCGCCGTCGCCGTCGTTGTCATCGTCGTCGGCGCTGCCGCCGTCGTCGTCGTCGTCGGCGTTGACGCCGTCGTTGTCGTCGTGCTCATCGTCGTCGTCGTCGTCGCCTTCCCCTCCCCCCTCCTGGGTTCGAGCCCAGAGGGGGGTCGCGGTGTCAGTCTCTCCAACCCTGTTTCGTTTTTAATGTTTATCGTTTTCTCTGCCCCTGGGTCGCGGTGTCGGTCTCTCCGACTTTGGCCCCATTTTCTAGTTTTCGCGTTTTCTCGGCCCGTTGGGTCGCGGTATTGTTTTTTTGTCCGACTTCGGTTCGTTTTACAGTTTCACGTGTTTCGACCCCATGGGTTGCGGTCTTGTTTTCCCCAACCCTGTTTCGTTTTCTCGCCATCTCAGCCCCTGGGTCACGGTCATGCTTTCTCGGTCTCTGGGTCGCGGTCGCAGTCCCTGTTCGCTTTACGATTTTATTGTTTTCTCGTCTTATTGGTCCTGGTCTCGGTTTTCTCCGACCCTGGTTCGTTTTCTCGTTTTCTCGTTCTCTCAGCGCCTGGGTCGCGATCTCGTTTTCTCGTTTTCTCGTTTTCTCTGTTTCTCTTTTCTTGTTCTACCGTTTTCTCGTTTTCTCTCCCCCTGGGTGGCTGTTTCGTTTTCTCCGATCCTGTTTCGTTGTGTCGTTTTCATGTGTCCTCGGCCATTGGGTCGCGGTCTTGTTTTCCTAGATGTTCGTTTTGCCGGTTGTTCGTTTTTCGGCACGAACGGCTTCGGTGCTTGTTGTTCATACAGTTGCTCATATACATGGTAATTTACGTTGAGTGCACCCCCCGACTGGACGCCTCTCTCGCGTCGTCATCGTCGTCGTCGTCGTTGTCGTCGTCGTCGTCGTCGTTGTCGTCGTCGTTGTCGTCGTCGTCGTGTTCGTCGTCGTCGTCGTCGTCGTCGTCGTCCGAATCGTCGTCCGTGTTCGTCTCCGAATCGTCGTCGTCGTCGTCGTCGTCGTCGTCGTCGTTCGCCTTTCCCCCTCCCCCTTCCTCCCCGGTTACGACGGGGGTGCCCCTCCTCCCCCCCCGGTTCGAACCCCGGGGGGCCCTTCCCACCACCCCCGGGTCTCCGGGAGGGGTGGGCGGGTGCTGTTCTTTCAGAAATTGCTTGTGAAACGCGCGCTCTCAAATCAAGGCGTCGGCTGTCTGCGGAGTTGGCCCCCCCATGGAACCTGCCTCTCAGAAGAAGAGGGGCGCTCGGGGGAAACACCCTTGAGGGGCTAATTTATTGGACGCACCACTGTCGAAGATGGACCAGTCCCGTAGTATGCCCCCGAGCTTAGCCCACAAAGTGGGAGGCTGGCTGGCCGCTTTGGAGATATCTGTCGCCTGCGCAACCGATCTCCATGCACCTCGGCAGGCTGTGGATCTGGATATACTCTGACCCCCCCGATGGCCCAGATGTGTTCATACCCGCCGCCCCCGTGGTGTTCTGGGAGATCGGCTCCCCAGGCGGTGGTCATGCATCAATCCCAGCCTCTCCGTCATCCCCAGACATCTGGGGTATGGTGTCGCACGAGCTTGCCTACGGCAGGTCGGCTCGCGCAGCGATCCCAGTTTGCCTGGCGGTCTTCTGCTCCACGCTACTGCTCCCCGTCGAGCCGTAATGCGATTCGGTTATCGCGCGTTCTCCACCGCTGTTCCCCCCGGGGAGATCATCCGGCGGATGGTGTGGGTCATTTGTCTTCAGTTTGGGCGTCCCGGGGGCCGCGCTCGGGCCCTGGGGGGGGGGGGCATCGAGGACGGATTTGGGGCGAAGCGCTGCCCCTATGGAGGAGGGGGCGGGCCCGCGGAGCGAACACATCACGGCCAGCAAGTCGGGACGATCGACGTAGGCACGCAAAGAATGGGTACGACACCGAACAGGAAAGTCTGTTAATTTTGTGCAGGGCTCGCTGTCCGCGCCGCCTCGGACGTGGTTCTTTCGAGACGAGCAGCCGCCTGCCCAACAGCGGCCGCTGTCGGTTTTGGACAACATTTGTTGTGGGGCATTGTTCTGCACGCACGAGATGGGCACGGAAAGAATGGGTACGATGCCCAACAGCAGTTCCTGTTCATTTTGAACAGGACTCATTGTCCGCGCCGCCGCGGCCTGTGTCCATTTGAGACAGAAGGCCGCCTGCCCAACTGCGTCCGCTGTTGGTTTGGGACAACACTTGTTGTTGGGCATTGTACCCATTATTTCCGTACCCATTTCGGGCGTCCAAAATTGTACCCATTTTCCCCTACCCAATTCGGGCGTCCAAGGCAAAGGGCAGAGGGTGTTATGCGTGCGTTTTCTCCAGGCCTCCTGGAGCTCCCCTGTGGCCACGGCTGGAGTTCCCTCGAGATCCCGGTCAGAACGCAGCGACCCTAAGCGAGGCTTGGCGGTCGCAGCCGCCGTCGTCGCCGGGAGAGGTGGACAACGGATGGCGGCGAGGGGCGGCGACGAATGGCAGATGATCGCAGTTATTGGGCGGCGTCCCTGTTTTTTCTGAACACCAAGGAAGGAGGAACAGGACGAGGACGGCGTCGCCTCGGGAGGAAGGGCGACAGAGGGGTGCAGAGCGGAGAGGGGGGAACTCTGCACTGGAGAAGATGCGGGCAGGGAGTCGGAGGAAAGACTGGTCTACTCTGTAAGAACGTTTTTTTGAAGGCAGATCTGCCTTCAAAAAACCGTTCTTACAGAGTAGACCAGTCTTTCCTTTTTGAAGGCAGATTTGCCTTCAAAAAACCGTTCTTACAGGGATGAGGGCGGAGTGATACGGCAAGATACGGCCGTGCGTCCACGGCCGTATCTTGCCGTATCACTCCGTGGGTCCACGGCCGTGGGTCCACGGCCGTGGGTCGGAAGGGGCGGCAAGATACGGCCGTGGGTCCGCGGCCCTCGTGCATCGGTGGCGAGCGAGGGGGGAATTGAGAAGGGGCGGGCCTTCTCGGAAGTCTTGGCAGTCCCCAGGCCTTCTGACAAGTTCGTTTCAGCCTTCCCTGAATGCACGGGAAACTCGCGAGGCCTTCTGAGAAGTCCCGCCGCCTTCTGAGAAGGCCTTCTCTTTCTCATTTCCCCCCTCGCTCGCCGCTCAGTGTAGGGAGGTGGACAAAAAGGGAGAGTGGAGGCATGTGCGAGCAGGGGGAGGGAAGGGGGGTCCCTGGACAGTGTCTTGCTCAGGGCACTCAGGGCGCTCCCCGAGGGCCTCAGGGCCGGTGTCTTGCTCAGGGCGCTCCCCGAGGGCAGTTTTCGGGCCTCGGGCCTGCGGTGGGTCCGTGCCGTCCCGGTGCGGCGATCGCCGCGCAGACACTGGCCGCCAGTGTTGGAGCCGGTCGTTCTGCAGAAAGTCAGGACGCCCCACTTTCGATTCGTGTTGCTCCGCCTTGGGCATGGCTGCGCGTTCGTGGCCCGCAGAGAGCGGCGCCGGCGCGAGATCGATGCGACAGATGGGTTGGAGAGATTTTTGTGGGCGAGGGAGGTGTTCGATGATGGGCCCCTCTCTGCACGCAGCCATCCCGGTGTCGCGCCGAGGAGGGTCACGCGACCGTCGAAGACCGCCCAAGGGCGACGGATGACGAGGGGCCTGTGATGGAAGGTGTAGTTCGGGTGCGCAGGTCTTCAAGAGGGTCGTGGGCTTTGAGCAGCCTTTCGGGATGCCCCCGACGGCAGAGGTATGATCACGTTGTGGGGATCATGTTGTGACCCCAGGGGTCAGGGGCAGAGAAGCCATACCCTGACCCCCCAGGGGTATGCTGACAAGTCTTGGGCGTTCACTCTAAGAGCAGTCCTACCCTGTGCTATTCCTCCTGACATGCGCTTATGTACAGGGGTTCCCGTGGTACGGGTGCTTCTTACGAGGTTGGTTGTTCTGCCCTCTTATTTGGGGGCGCCCAACGACGGATGTCACGCAAAAGGCGGAGGGGCTCATGCAGTGACGCAGAGCCCAAGCAGAGCCGCTGCAAGCCGGGTAGTGCAGTGCAGGCGGCACCAGTCTTCGCGGGAGAGTTGTGCGAAGTTTTGATCTTGACGCACGATTTTGGGGCAGTATCTCCATTGCAGCGGGTGCATCTCCCCCCTCTCCAGCGGCAGACGCCGATTTCCCACGCCGTCGCGGGACGTGTGCCCTCCGCAGTGCTCGGGGAGGGCGGGGGGGCCGGCGCGGGAGGTCTATGAGCAGCCGCACGTCATGGTGATCGATCTGGGCGTGGCGAAGATTTTCCAGCCTGGCAATTTCAGGCGCCCACCCTTACGGTAGGTTCGCGTCGTGCCGGCGCGGGCGTTCAAGGTTTAACGACGCCAGTTGCCCAGAACAGAATCGGCGAACACGGAACGATCTGAGGATCGAGAAGCCGCCGATCGTTCTGGATTGATCGTTCCCATCGGTGTCAGTAGCCATTGCGCAAGTCGTCACGACATGATAAGCCCGTCGTGTCCAATGTTTGGTCATTTAGTCAAGGCAGTAGGAGGGGTGCGAAACTTTCTGCACGCAGGCAGCTGCGGCCTCGCTACTTGGCGCCTTTCCTCCACTGGTTCCTCCCAGCACCAGGATAGAAAATCAGCTGGGTGAGCTGATTCGCTGAACCCCTCAATACTAGCCCCGATGTTCGATCGCCCTGGTTCGAGAATGGGGGATGGGGGGCCGTAGCCGCCAGGGGGGAAGTCCAGCTAACCGACGACCCTTGATACTAATCCTCGGGGGATGAACAAATTCGGGGGTCTGGCGGGGATAATCAACGATTTTCCCGGCAGAGGATGATGATGATGATGATGATGATGATGATGATGATGATGATGATGATGATGATGATGATGGTAATGATGATGGTAATGATGATGGTGATGGTGATGGTGATGGTGATGATCATGATCATGATCATGATCATGATGCTGTTGATGATGATGATGATGATGATGATGATGATGATGCTGATGATGATGATGATGCTGATGATGATGATGATGATCCTGGGCGCTCGTGTAGACTGACCTTCTATATCTTGGCACAAGACTGACTCGAGAGATCTCGAGTCTCGAGTCTCGTTGCTACAGGTTGTTGGCGCTCCTGGCCAAGAAACCTCTCTTGCGCACGACCTCGAACCACTCGCCCATGCAGGCTCGGTACTCTTTGGAGCCGTCTTTGCACGGGATGCACTTGTTGCAGGCCTGCTCGGCAGCGCTTGCCTCCTCGAAGGTGGTGTGCTTCGGCTCGACCGCCGTGGGGTCCTTGAAGGGCTTGGACTTGGCCTTGCTCTTGGATCGATTGGGGATTGGGGATTGGGGGTCGCATCCCCTTATGCCTTATCCCCTCCTATCATTGCCCCTGGGGGAGGTGCAGCCCGGTGCCTCGAAGAGGCTCGAAAGTTTGGAGTCTCTGAGACTCGGGGAAGCTCGAGCCTGGGCAGTTGCGGGGGGGGGGAGGAAGGAGGAGGAGGAGGAGGAGGAGGAGGAAGAGGAGGAGGAGGGGTCACGAACCGTGTGAGGGATGCGCTAAAAAAGTAGCTCCAATGCTCTGCCTGCTCGAAAAACGCATGCATTTTCAAAGGCCAATCGGTCCCCATGGCTCTGCCACACGTTCCTGACTCGGGAACGGCTGAGAAAGTGAGAATCCCACGGCCCTGTCACAATTTGGAAAAACTGAAAAGGTGAGAATCCCGTAGCCCTGCCACACGCTCGTAATTACGGAAGCTGAAATAGTGAGACCACCATGGCCATGCTCAGCGTTTTTGATGTTCTTGCTAGTCAATATATGATGAAAACAACTTCGATTCGCAACTTCCCCCAGTGATTATCAAGTTCGGCCTCCGCGCCCCTCTCCACAATTAAATATCATTGGCACGGGAAAGAAACTATTCAGGGGGTTAAGGGGTAGGGTACATCATTATCCGGGGCAGTAGTCGGTTATTTCATCTTCTCCAACCATTTGCGTCGTCACCTCTTGTGTTTTCTCTCTCTCTCTCTCTCTTCTCTCCTCCTTCCCTCCCTTCCTCCCTCCCCCACCCCCACAAGGCCCTCACGATGGAGAAGAGTGGATATCGCAGTGCGGTCGACCCCTGTTCCCACGTTACGGTATGATAGTTGCACCATCGGAAGAGTCTCGCGTCCTCTCTGATGCCCTCTGTGCTCGGTACGGTACTGCAACGCGGCGAGAAGTGAAGAAAGAGAGGACGAGGTGAGGTAGGGAGCGGAACATCGCCCCTGGTACATCCGCGGTCGAAAGCCGTCCGACTCCGGCTTGGTCCCGCCTGGTCCGGCCCAATCCCATCGAATTTGGACTGGTGTTGTGTTCACGGTGCCCTATATTTGGTATAGGGACGGGGCGGGGCGGACGGGAGGCCGGCGTGCGCCGGAGCGCGCCTTGCAGGGGCTGCCGGCAAGCAGACTCACCGATTCTCACACAGTAAAACTTCGTAGCTGTAGACGCCGGTCGTTGAAAGTAGGTATTTTTGGATGCCCAAATCCTAATCTACTTTAGGCGCCTTCCTACTTCAAGAGTTGAGTGGTTTTCCTTCTTTCCTCCTCTTCAGGGGGCGGGTGGAAGCCCAATCTATTTTCAACGCCTTCCTACTTCACGTTTTTACCTACTTCTTCCGACCGGCGTGTAAGTGATAAGTCGTCTGCCAAGCGTTTCAGCGGGCGGAGGAGCGCTGGGCGCCCGGCCCTGCGTCCACTCCAGCGCTGCCTTCGACCAGCTTAGTCTGGTTGGGTGGCCCCGTAATCGGGCTTCCCTTCATCGTTGGCACGAAGGCCCTGCAGGAGTTGCCTCCCACGAGAGCGGCGGACGGGGGGAGTGGGGGGCCCAGGGGCCATGAGAGAAGGCCCGTGGCGAACATTGGGGTCCCAGGGGTCAAGATCGAGAGCATCTGCACCGATGCAATAGTAACCCATACCAAGAAACTCCCTGCTTGCCTCCAGGGTACCCTGAGTTTCTTGCGTTTCGATGGTCTTGCAATGCAGAGCGCAACGTTCCCACACCAAAATAAATATATAGACGTCCTAGGGTCTCAGGGTTGGGCTTCTTGTGAAAGGTTTCTTGTGGACTAACACCTCCACTGTAGAGATCATCCAGGAAGGGGGTGAGGACTAGGGCTTAGGTGTGTGTCCGTCTGTGGGTACCATGGCTTGAGCCCTGACATCTCCAAGATGTCATGGCCCTTCTTCTTCTTCTTCTTCTTCTTCTGCTTCTTTCAACGCATCCCTGGCCCCTCCCTCGCTCCCGACAGTGCCAACCGAGGAGGCTGGCCGTGCAGAGTTTCGCACGTGGTGGAGCGCTCATAGCAGGCCCCCTCCCTTGTCCGCGCGCATGCCCAGGGCCACCATGCAGTGACCCCCCCTCCCTGACCTCCATAGTCGGAGCACACGGATGTGACAACTCAAGAATGCGGAGGTGTGGGCACGCTGGCAGGATGCAGCAAAGGGCAGGAAAGTTTCGTAAGTATACTACCGGCCTGAAACACATCCCTGATCGCCTGAAGAGTGGGACTTTTTCATCCAGGTGCCGATTTGAAGGATTCGCCCACTTTCTGAGGGCACATTTCCACCAAGATGATCATTCCCTTGCGCGTGTCAATCTCAGGCACAGGGATGAGCTCGAGGCTTCTTACGGCAGGTTCACGTCGTGTCGACCCAGCGGCGACCCTGGCGCAGGGCGATCATGACTATGACTCAGCCAGTGGCCAGGAGTGGGCCGCCATCGAAGGTTCGGCGCTGTCTGAAAACCGCGCTCATTCTCGTGGGTTCAGAGCTGTACGCTCAGGTCGTCACGACACGAAGCAGCCGCAGTGATGGCCGCCGCCACGCTGACCGCCGCGCGCGAGTCTGCTTGCAGGCACTACCGGCAGAAGAGACAGGAGGCGGCCCAGAAATTGGCGTTGGCCACCACTCAGTGTGTGCGGCCGCCTCCTGCCTCCTACCGAGGCAAGGCGAGCCTCGCATAGCGGCCGTCGGATAATCCTCAGTCGAGGAAGAAACACATCGCAAAACATATATTTTTAGAGGTCCGCGCTGATTTTCTGAATCGGCGCTGGGCCTCCCTGGTAGCGCCTCCGGCGACGCCCCTGGTGCACTCCGAGCGCGGACTCTTCCTGGGTGGCCCGCATACTACCACCGTCGATGCCGGAAGGAATGAAGAAGAACAGCGACAGCATCTCCTGTCCACTCTGAACACGATTTGCTGTCGTTGTCGCCGCGCTTTTTGTCCACCGGAGACCAAACGTTGCCTGCCCAACAGCGGCCGCTGTCCTTCTCTTGCAGACCATTTGCCCTGGGGGGCTACGTTGTGAAGAAGTATCGACGTCGAAGGTTTGTGAGCAATGCAGGATGACGTTTTTATAGAAACGCTGGGTGGAGCTCGTCATGCGGCAGCGCCCTGGCCGATGATTCACGATCTCGGTTCTGGGCCTGCACGTGCGCGTTGACGTCTTTGAGATTCGCCGATTGTCCTCTGCACTCATCTCCCTAACGGCGGGACCCTGCTTGTTGAATCTTCCCCGCTTTCATCTTCCACTGGGCGGGCTGAGGGGCACGCGATGATGCCTTGCCAGGCCAGGGCGTGCGCGGGGTTCGAAGCAGCAGTCTGTCGCGAGCCCCCCCGTCCCGCGCAGGCACAACCGGCCCATCGGCACTCCAGCGACCATGGCCCCCGAGGTCTGGTCCGGCGACATCACGCCCAAGGCTCGTCCCGCAGGGTCCATCCATTTCGACCCCATCGATCCGGTTCGATATCGATTCCAGTTGGCTCGGTCCGAATCGTCTTCGATATTCCCACGAGCCGATGCGGCCCGATGTTTGCATGGCGTTGTTGTGCATCCTTGCGCGGCCGATCGAATTCGATGCCGATCCGACGCACGTTTCAATTTGATCTGCCCCGCTCCTCTCTTGTACGGGTGCTCCTCGTTGCAGCCAGTTCGGTCAAGTCTTCGTCATTGTGGTCAAGGTTGATCACGGGCACATGTTCAAATTAACAATTGGGACGCTTGCAGTCTCTGACAGCTATCCTGCTGCCTGTAGCAAGTCCCGCCGCCGTGCCAGCCATGCATTCTGGGAGGCGGCTGTTCGAGGGGGCCCGCGAGGTCGTCACGTGTGGCAGCTTGTATCTCCATGCTTTGGCGCGGCCGTGATGACGATGATAATGAGGAGGAGGCTGATGATAATGATGCTGATGCTGATGCTGATGATGATGATGCTGATGGTGATGACACTGATGCTGATGGTGACGACGACCATGATGATCAGGATCCTCATGATCATCATGCTGCTGATGATGATGGTGGTGGTGATGCTGAACATGGTGTTGATGATAATGACGATGCTGATGGTGATGATGGTGATGCTGATGCTGGTGATGGTTGTACTGATGATTGTGATGAGGATGATGATGAGGATGAGTGTGATACTGATGATGATGATCATGATGGTCATGATGCTGATCTGGTGATGCTGCTGCTGATGACGATTATGATGATACTGATGATGATGGTAACGGTACAGATGCTGGTAATGCTGATGTTGATGTTTATGGGGATGCATCGTTTTGATGAGTGGTGGAGATGAATATGAAGATTACTCGCATGCTGATGTTGTTGTTGTTGCCGTTGTTCCTGGTGATGACGACGACGATGTTGTTGATGTTGGTACTGATGGGGATGCTGATTTTGATGATGATGCTGATGCTGAGAATGATGCTGCTGTTGTTGTTGTTGTTGTTGATGATGATGGTGATGATGATGATGATGATGATGATGATGATGATGATGGTGTTCATGACGTTGATGATGATGATGATGGTGATGATGATGAGGAGGAGGAGGAGGAGGAGGAGGAGGAGGATTGTGTTGGCGATGTCGATGATGATGACGACGATAACGACATCGGCGACACCAAAGCGAAGAGGAGGAGCTTGAGAAGGAGGAGGAGGAGGAGGAGGAGGAGGAGGAGGAGGAAGGGGGCGTGGAAGGCTGCCACATGTGGCACCGTTCGTTTTCACTAGTTGAGGAGCGGGGCAGTCTTGGGGCTGCCTTGACCTTTTGTGGAGAAGTCTTAGGGGTCCCTTCGTCTTGGGGCTCTCTTGGGCCGTCTCGGGTCCCTCTTGGCCGTATGGTGGTTGTCTCGGCGCTAGTTTGGGCAGTCGAAGGGCCTTATGAGGCCGTCTTGGGTCCCACGGGAGATCTTCCTAGGACGTCTTCGGTAAGTTTTGGAAGGTTCTCGTCGGCCCTCTTGGGGCCCTCTTGCTTAGGCCGCCTTTCGAATAATGTTGGCGTCGTTGGGCCTTGTTGGAGGTCCCTTTGTGGCCCGTTTGGGCCCTCTTCAAGTCGTCGTGGGCCGTCTTGAGGCCAGAGTCGGCCGCCGTGGGGCCACATTGGCCCGTCTTCGATACTTTTCGGAGCACAGTTGTGCCCAGGTTGCCTGCACAGGCCGTCTAGGAAGCTCGCGGACCCATCACATCAGTTCAAAAGGAGGTGTCGTGGTTTCGGGGGCACGGGCCCCTTGGCTCTGCAAGACATCGTGATTTCAGGGGGGGGGGGATTGCACGGGGCACTCCTGGACGAGGCGGGCCCCTCACTAGAGTACAAAAAGCAGCACCTCGCATTCCTGCGCGCGCATCGTGCTGGCACGGCGGCTGAGTACAACTTTGCCAGAACGGTTCCTCTTTTGTCGCGCGAGTCAATGTTGGCCTGAACGCTTCCTCTTTGTTCTTAGGCCGACGTCTTCAGCTGCGGCGTTGTCTTGTTCGAGCTTCTCGCCTTGGCTGGGATTGGGGATCTGCATTGCTGACCTGGAGGATGGAGCGGAAGAGAGCATGGCTTGATATGTGTTCAAGCACCTAATTGCAACTATTCCTTGCCCCGCCGCTCTCATGAATTTTGATGCACTCTTTGCCTGCGCTGGCGAAGCTCATCGAGCAACACTCCTAGTTGTTGTCAAAGGTGTGGCATCCCGAATGACGCAAGCGATATCGAGGATCGGATGTGGATGAGGACGCTGCAATCGACATGACAGCGCCCTCGGTCGGCATGTTTTCATGGGTTCCTTGACCAAATTAAGATATGCGTATGTATACGCATTCAAATGCACGCAGACATGAAGAATCTTATACCTGTGTTACCAGCACTCCATATATGCATACATATGTCTGATATTTACTCTAGTTATATGCACATACATTGTGACCTGGCACGCCTGTTGCCTTCACGGCGCGCGCACCGATAATTGCACAAAGGTGCGCGCTTGAGCCAGGCACCTGCCGCATCCGCGGAGGAGGATGAGGAGGAGGAGGAAGCAGGTGAGAATGTAGATCTTCGACCACGTGCGAACCCGCCCATTGTCGAGTCCAATCAGCGCTGCGGCGCCTGACAGCCTTACAGGGGTTCTTTTGGCTCAGACATCATCCGAATTCAGAGGCCCCAGCCAGCGTTTCAGAAATCTGACCTGCAGGTGCAGGGGCAACTTCTGGTCGCCCAGTGGAGGATCGAAGAGCGAACATCAGAAGCTGGGACAAGCGTCCAGACGCTCGCGCGGATGTCCTGGCTGTGCGCCATACCCCTCTCTCCGCGCCCCGTGGCGGCTCGCTCTGCGCGCTGCGGAGGGGGGCACGGGGAGAGGTGTGCCGGAGCCCCGGCGAGGGGCACAGGCAGGAGCCGGGCCGGGGTGCAGCCTTGCCCTGATGGGCCCGTTTTCCACCACCACCACCACCAGGAGTTGGAGGGGGGACGGAGGAGGAGGAGGAGGAGGAGGAGGAGGACCCCCTCCCCCTCCAACTGATGGTGGTGGTGGTGGAAAACAGGCCCATCATTGCCCTGTGGCATCGGCTCGTCCTGGGGCCGAGCCGGCGGTCAGAGGCGGCTGCGCCTGGCCGACCTAAGAGGGACGCAAGCTGTCACGAGCAGCCGCACGCTGTGGGAGGCGAGGTTCAGAGGCGCGCCGCTCGCCTCGCCGAGGCGCGGCCTCGCCGTGCCCTTTCATCCAGCGAGGACATTCGTGCCGTGTTCTTCTTTCTCCGCTGCTGCTGGACTCGCTGCCTTGCTGAAGCGCAGTCGCCGGAGGGAGCGGGAATGGCTGGACGAGGAGGCGAACGAGAGCAGGGGTGCGGGTATGGAGGGAAACGGTTATGAACATGAGAGGATAGGATGAGGAGGAGGAGGAGGAGGAGGAGGAAGAGCGGGAGGAAGAGCAGGAAGGTGGACGGGGGAGGGAGCAGGGAGAGGGGAGAGCAGGGAGCAGGAGGACGGAGCAGCGGTGAGGCTTGAGCCGCATTCTTTCTCCTCGTTTGCTCCCTTCTCGGTTTCCATGGGGTGGCTGGGCAGTCGCTCCCGTTCAACTGCACCGCCCAGCACGAAGAGGCGACGCCAGCTTGCCTCCATTCGTGCTGGCACCCCTGTTCGGGCGAAGAAAACTGTGCACATGCACCGATCCTGGCAAGGCCCATCCTTGACCCATGATCGGTGCATATGCCTTCCTGACCGAGGTAGGAGGGCGTATGAACCGATCCTGGGCTCAGGATGGGCCTGGCCAGAATCGGTGTATGTGCATAATTCTTCTTCCTCTACCTGTGCATCGTATCATCTCGATCGCATTGCTGTGTCGGCGTGGCAGTGTCAGCTTGTCCCTGGGTGCACCATTCTCGGCGGTAGGATTTTGCTGTTTGGGTCGCAGCCCGGCTCTGACGCGTGCTTCATGGTTTCTACAGCAGCGCTGTAATTGCGGAGGGTGCAGTGCCTTCGCTTCCAGAGGCATTGCAATGGTATGTTTGCAGCGTGCTGTCGCCGCGCGTCTAGGGCACCAGCGAATGCGTCATCAGCAGACGTTGCGACTTCCTCGGGCCCGACACCACTGCTCGTATCCATTCGTCGTAAGGTCTTTCCACCATGACCCCAGTGGCCATCGATAGCGCTGACTCATTCTTCGATGGCTGGTTTTGCGAACTTCGCATTCCCCGTCCTCCTGGTCGTGCTTCTCGACAGACCCGTCGACCATCATTTCGAATCGCCAGCGGTCTGGGTATCCCTCCTTCCTCCCTCAGGGGATCCGACAGGGGGGGCGGCGGACTGGATCAGGAGGGGGGGGGCCTCGCCCCCCAATGTTCCATTCCTCGCCGATTGAGGACTGGGTTGTCCCAAGCTTGCCAGCAGCATAGGGCTCATAGGGCTTCCCTACCAAGGGCATGTCGCCGAACTAGATTCCTAGTCCCCTGATCTAGTCCCCCTTCCTCCTCCTTCCCTGGTGGGGCGCGTAGAGTTTGGCCGGGGAGGCGTCAGTGGGTTCTGGGGGCTCTCTTGGTATGCTCCCCGTCCGCCTCGGCATCCAGGAGGGACACGAGGAAGGGGAAGAGAGTCGGGGAGGAGGAGGATCGGCAATGGATGATGAGGGCGGATCGACGATCGAGTTCTCTCGAACGATTTGGGCTGGCGCGTCTGGCGCATGACTGAGAATCGACGAGGAAGGATCGAGGCTGGTGGTCTATGGTCTTCTCCGAAAACGGCTGGCGGCGGCTTCTTGGACCCTCTAGAGGCGTGCAGCGCTGTAGAACCCACACATTTGGCGACCAAATCGTGCTGGAGGTTTTGTTGATCACCGATACCGCTATATGTCCCTCGTCGCCACGGCTGCATTCGCCTCGAAATCTAAGTCAGAACGAACCCCCGGAGAGGCCCGCGGAGGATCAGTACCGGCATATGATCTGTGTCCTCAACGTCAAGGGCCGGGAGATTTGTTTCGTGTCTCGGGGCCGTCGGAAGAACGAGTCAGAATGATGTGTTCCTCCCAGGAGCAGGGGTCGAGAGCCTCGAGGGCCAGCGACTCGAGAATGTCGAGTCGTCGCAGATCTTGGTCACCGACTGGGGGGAGGGGGGGACTGGCGCTGCGGGTGGAACATCGACCCACGGGTCGCCCATTCCTCGGGGCTCTGGGCGCCCAACCCCGCCCAGGGACGTGCAGTCTCGCCGCCGCGCTCCGGAGGCCTCCAGAGAAGCCGCGCGAGGAGCCCCACGGGCGCCCAGGCCAAAGCCTGGCCACGACATTGGACTGCGTGTTCGCCCAGCCTTTCGTGGAAGCCCTCGGGGGACCACTTGAGGAAGGGCAGAGAAGGAGAAGGAGGAGAGGGCGGAGGAGGAGGAGGAGGAGGAGGAGGTGGAGGAGCAGGAGGCCTCTGGGGGCACTCTTGGGGCCTTCGCCGGACTTCCGGGGGGCTCTTGGCGGCGTTTGCCGGCGATCCGTTGCGGCCTGGTGCCTGCATGCCGCTGTCGTGCATCCTGCCGCGGCCGACCCGATCCGATTCCGACTCTCAGTGCCGATGCGGCCCGATCCCACGCTTTTTCGATCCGGTACGACCTGCCGATGGTGCTGGCTGATCCTGCCTTGCCAGGCTATCAACTACTGGTTCTCCATGCCGCTGGCGCCCTGGAGCCGCACGCGGCACGCGTCCAACGCGGCGGCCTGGCATGAAGCTAACGGGTCCCGAGGGAAACGGGCCATTAGCATGCCGCCCTGGGGAGGTGAAATTCAAACTGGCCAAGTCCTGGACAATTCCGCTGAATCCCGCTTGATCATGCGTGATCCGGCTTAACCCCGGGCTAATCCAGCCTTCGTTTGGCTTCATGGCTCTCAATCGGTCTTGTGAAGGCCTCCCAGGAGTTGCCCCCTAAAGGACCAGCGTTTCGTCCTGGGCCGTTTCCCGACAGTCCCGGGACCCGTGCAGGGCCCAGAGTTGCCAACAAAACCTCGCGGTCCGTTTCCCAGGGGACCCGGTGTTTCACAGCGAGGCGGTGGAGCTGTGCCGGCGGATGCTGCGGCTGGACCGGCACATGCGCCCAACGGCCTCGCAGTGTCTGCGGGCGCCGTTCTTTGAGGCATCCGGAGGAGGGCAGCTATGCAAGTCCATCTCGTTTCTCCACTTCCCCCCTCTCCCCAGTAGTCCCTCTGAGAATGGTTTCCTCCCTGGGAGGAAACCATTCTCAGAGGAGGAGGGGGGAGTGAGGAGGAAGGAGGTGGACCTGTATAATTGCTCAACTCCGAGGCACGGGGGATCTCCGATGATGCGGACGGAAGTGTTGCAGCACTTCTCAAGGTCGACGATCGACTTTCGATCCCCGTGGGCGGAAATTCGAAGAAGAAAAACGGACACACACACACACACACGCACACACACACACCTCCGTTGTCTGAGGTCTGCGCGGATTTCTCGGACTGGCGCTGGACCCCGCCTGCTAGGGGGGGTCCAGCGCGGATCCGCGAGATCCGCGCGGGTTTGCGACGGATTATGTTTATGCCGTGTGTTCTTATTCATCATGAGGCACTCTGAACGAGGAACGAAGCAGTTTTTCTTGCCACGGCGAGCCTCGGCCACGAAGAGGTTCCCCAACCCAGATCCGAGGAACTGCCCGAGAAGCCAGAGCCCCTCCAGAGCCCAAAGGGATCCTTTCTTCAGCGTCTTGACTGCAGTGTTCGTGAGGATCCGAGGTGGCGTCGCTATTCTTCTACGTTCAATTCCCAGAGGGTGGGGAGCGTGTCCAGGTCCATGGCCTCGCGGTCGGAACTCCGAGTCGGCGACCCGCTGGATGCGGGGGGGGCATGTCCACGGGCTCGCGTGTCCACGGGATCGCGCCACGATGTCCAGATCGCGAGGGCATGAGTACGGACACTTCGTCGCTCGTGGGGCCCGTACATCCGCTGAGGCCCCCTCCTTTTTGGGCGGCGGACAGGGATGCGGCACGGGGGGGCCTCTCCGGAGGCTCCGTTTCGCATCCGTGCCACCTTGCCACCGCTCCCTGGCCAGCGGGAGAGTCGTGGCAGTCGGGGGCGACGAAGAGGGGGGGTGAGGAATCCTAGGAGGTGGACATCACGGCTGGGGCCATGATATCTCCCAGGTTTCATAGCTCGAGGATTATCGGATGAAGTCTGGGAGATGGGGGGGGTGAGGATTACAGGATGGAGTCTGGGAGATATCATGACTGGGGCCATGACATCTCCCAGATGTCATGGCCCTCGCTCCTGCTTTCAACACATTCGATGGCCCCCGCTCGTCCCTGCGCACGCCTCGCGCCATGATGCGTCCCCCCTCTCCCTTCCGGGCCCTCGGGCAGGAGCACAGGCAGGGTTCTTGGATTTTGCGTCCGAGCGCCAGCGAGGGGCAGGTGCGTCCTACCTGGCCCAGCCTGGATAGCCTCTTCGTGCAGGTCAGCAGCGTGTTCTGGGGGTGGCATGTGCATCTGCCCTGGGCAGTTTGACCATTTCCCTAGGGGGCCGCTGCGTCTCCTGGGGTTTAGAGGACAGGTAACCCGCCTTCACTCCCCACCCGACAGGCTGGGGCTGTCAGGTTGAACGAAGAAGGCTCCCGACCCGCTTCTCACACCCTGCGTGCCGCGGCCGCCAAGCCCAAAGAGTGCCAGTGCTCCCTGAGTATCCCGCCTCGCGTCTACAACGAATGACGATTGCATGCCGCGGCCGCCAGGCCCCCCGGGTCTTGGTGTTGCCTGGATGCCACGTCTCGCGCTCTCGGGTGAGGATCACTCGGACGGTTCTTGGATATCCGCCGCCCTGCCAAGGGGCTTGTGCACGTCCCGGAGCGGAGCGTGCTGCACAACAGCGTGGCGTTGTCCATTGCCCAGGCCTGGCCGTCGAACCAGCTCCCGACCATCAAGGTTCGAAGAAGAAAAAACTGCATCAACCAAGGTGGGGATTTATCTATGACCACCGCCCGGGGGAATGGATCTTCGGGATTTCGGCAGGCGGTGGTGGACTTGGATATGTTCGGGCCCGCTTGCCGAGGTCTCGAAGGTCGGTCCCCCCAGGCGGTGGTTCATGGATAAACTCCTGCCGCGCAATAAACATACACTTTTGGAGTCGGAGTCCGCTTGCTGGATCGGCACTGGATCCCCCCCCCTTCCTGGCGCGAGGAGCGAGCCAGTGGCGGCGCCGGAAGCGCCGCCAGGTCGGCCCAGCCCGGAGGGACGGCCCCTACTGGGGCCCGAAAGGACCTCTTCACTGCCTCCGCGGGCTCAAAAGGTGACGAAATGCGTTCGCTTCTTCACCCCACGCATATTACCCGCCGCGAACGAAACCCCGACAGGCGCCGAGCCAAGGGATCCGCGCGGACATCCGAGAGCATGTGCTCGTGCCGTTGTTCTGGCCCCTCTTCCCTCGAGGCTGCCTTTCGCGAGTTGGACGCCGGCGCCAGCGGCCAGCTGACCAAGGAATGTACCAACCTGGAACAGATCCTTATCCCCAAGACTGGCACTGTCTTCTCTCAGGTTCCGATCGTAAGGGTACCACTTTAGCGTTTTGAGGGCACATTCTTGAGGTTGGCATCGCCCCGGGCTTGTCTTAGCGGCGCGCACACGAGAGGAACGAGCGGAGTTGGGCCTAGGAAGGCGGGGGGGGCTCTAAGAAGGCAGGGATCTTCTCAGAAGCCCTCCCAGTTGAGAAGCCTCCTAGGAAGCCGCTGTATGTCCTCCTGAGAAGGCACCTGACTTCTCAGAAGCCCTTTCTGCCTTCTTAGAAGCCGACCCCCCTCGCGGCACCCCTTTGTGGGCGCCGCCAGCTTGGGTGGACCACGCGCAGGAGTGACCCTTCGCCGGAGTGACCTTCGGTGCGGGCTCATTCGGGTCCCCCGATCGCTGAACGCGAAGCGGTCGCAGCCGCTTGCGCGCCCGGGTTTGGTCCCTCAGCGGCTTCGCCAGAAAGCCGCGCACCAAAGTCACTCGTACCCAGGGTCACTCTTGCCCGTGACCGCTTGGGGATACGCTTGAGCTCGCGGCCGGTCAGGACCAGGTCGCTCTCGCGCTCGAGCGCCTCGGCGTCGACCGCGAGCCCGCGCGCGCCTCCGCGGACGCCCTGGACCTGAGCCGCTCCGGCGCGGTGGGCCAGGGGCGGCGATCATCGGCGGGGGGGCGTCTGAGGCGACGATCTGGGCGAACCCGGTCAACCCGCAGAGTAGCCTACTCTGCGGGTTGACCCTACTAGGGATGGGCAGCCTTCCCAAGGGGTACCCTTGCATTCTTGCCCCTTCGGCCCATCCTTAGTGGCTGTCGCTGGCCAGCCTCGTTCGAAAAACGTTCACAGGGGCCTCCAAGGCCCTTGCATCCTTACTGCGAATCCTCCTGATACGGGTTGACTGTACCCCAGTGGCGAGCATTACCAGCATCGGCGCCTCTGGATACATTGATTGGGGCCCCCTGGGCTATTCGCCTCTATCGTCGGCCCCGAGGGGGTTGTGGGCTGTAGGAAGGAAAGGGGTCCTGAGAGAAATGGGTCCTCAGATTTTTTGCTGCCTTTGGCCTCCTGGGACCCTCCAACGGCCCCAGGACTATCGGGCAACGACGCAGGATGAAGACCTGCTCCTGGATGGGCTCAGGAGGGACGACAGGTTACCTTTCATCTTCGGGGGACCTTGCTTTTGCTTGTCCCGTGACTGGCGGTCTTTCTTTCTACCCCGACGTGGGCTCGACGGGGGCTCAGCGTGGATTCCGCGTGGATCCGACGCGGATTCGACGTGGTCTGGACGCAGACTCGCAGCGGACTCGACACGTGCGACATTGATTCGACACATATTCGACGCGAAAGCAGCGCGATGAGACAGAGAAGACCCCCCGAAGATGCAACATTAGACAGGGGCAACTCTGAGGTTCGAGGTCTTCGGGCGCTTTCGCAGGTCCCCGAAGGCTCTCCGAGTCTCGGGGTGCTTTCCAACAGCTGCGCCTGGAGTGTCCAGATCGCCCCGAACGGCCGCCGGGGACTCGCGTTACAACCGAAAACCAGTCCCGTCAGGGGCAACGACAGGGGTGGACTGGGCCCAGGGGGGAAGCATCGACGCCCAACCGTCTATGAATAACGAATCAGGGGCTGATAGCCTAGCCCACCAAGGAACGTGCGGTTTCGCAATCGAGGGTCCACCGCCGGTCTATCGGAAATGTATCGCCGATTCCAGCTCGATGCTTCCCCGCGCGGGTCCCCCCGTCCCCCAATTTCGTTCCCCATCAGGTGGGCTGGACGGAGTTCGTGGCCGGCTGCATCCGCCTCGGCAGCGACAGGTTCGAGGAGGATTTGCTCAGGATCGAGGAAGAAACGAATGGCATAAGCATCATGTTTCAGATCAGCGCTGCGCGTTTTCTGACGGCGTTCCGCGCGCCTGGGAGGGGAGGTGCAGCGCCGATCCTTAGCAATCCGCGCGACACTTCAAAAGCGTATGTGAACGAATGATGATTGTTCTTATTTCCCTAGAGGATCTTCAAAGAGGCCGACAGCGACAACGACGGCCTGCTCACCCAGAAGGATGTCGCCAGCTTGCTGGCGGCCGACCACCTGCACGGCGATGCAGCCTGCGACGTCTTCGCGGACCTCGTCGGTCGAGTGGACCCGGGCGCGCGCGTCGACTGGCCGACGTTTAGGCGCCACTTCCGCTGTCCCCTGGACGATGCGGAGGATTCCCTGGCAGCGCCGGTGATGGCTGCTCCCATCATGGTACCAGCGTGCCATCAGGCCGGTGCCGAGATCATGGGGCATGCCATGGACCTTTGGGAGCGTGCCATGGACCTCGGCCACGCGTTCTGGCCGCTGCAGGAGGACCCCGGGGAGCCAGAGGAGGAGAAATTGCGGCGGCTGGCGGAGATGGGCTTCACAGACCGCGACAGGCGCCTTCCACCCTTCACCCACACACACACACACTTTTACGTCGGCGGCGAGGCATAGGTAAACTGCGCCAGCGGTCAAGCAATTCGGGGCGGCCGAAGAGCGAATTGTCCAACATGCAAGAGGAAGGACCGAGGACGAGCGCGGCGGCCGCGGAGGCGGGGGTGGAGGAGGCCCACACACATAATCACACACACACACACACACACGCACGCACACACCGTGATTTGGAGACGTGCCCGCGACGACGTCGCTGGGCGCTGGGTGTGGACAGCTCCTGCGCCTTCGGGGGCGGCACGGCATCCACACCCAGCGCTCGCGCCGCGAGAGCCTCGGGGGCGCGCCCCCAGACCGGTGCACAGGCGCGCCTGCGCCCCGTCGGTCGCCGAGCGCGCTCGATCTCGAGCCCGCCCAGTGGCCGAGCGGGCCCCGACGCCGAACGGGCTCATAGGGGGAGCATTTGGTCTACTCTGGATGGTTTTTTATTATCAAGAGGGGTGTAATTTACCTTCTGATTGAGCCTGCCCAGTCCCGCCCCCCTCCGTCCGCCTCCCCCTCCTCATCCTCCTCTTCCTCCAACCCCCTCTCCACCCATTTTGACAGCACGTGCCCAACCCCCCAGCGGATCCAAGGGGGGGGGCGAGTCGGCTTCTGGGGTGAGCAGGTGGGGTCGGAGGATCGCGCCGCATCGCCGATGCATCGCCGATGCATCGCCGATGCAGCTCGATGCGGGGCCCGATTTTCTTCGCGCGAGCGTCGCCGATGCATCGCCGACGTCGCTGATGCACCGGCGGTGCATCGCCGATGCATCGCCGATGCGGCGCGATCCTCCGACCCCACCTTCTCCGACCCCATCCAGGAGGCCTCTACGATCGACGATCGGGCTCGCAGGGGGAGCCCCTGTGGGGGAGCAGGTGCGTCGCCGTCCTGAAGAGGCACCGCAACAAGCTGTGCAGCAGGGCGGTCGAGGAGCTCATGCGCGGGGGCGCGGCCGGCGGCGCCAGCGACGCCGGCAGCGCGGGCGGCAGCGGCGCCCCCCGGGAGGCCGCGGGCCGCTCGCCGGCGCGCCGCCCGAGCACGGCGCCCCGCCGCCGCCCCCTGCGGCTCGCGTGAGAGGCGCGCGCCCCTGCGCGCGCGCGCGCGCGCTGGGCGGCGGCGGCGCCGCGCCGCGGGCGCCGCGAGCCGCCCCGCGGCGCGGCGCAGGCGCGGCGTCGCGGGCGCATGGCGGGCGCGGCGCGAGGCCCCCGGGTCGGCCTGTGCGCGGCGCGTGGCAGGGTGCTCCTCTTGCAGCTGCCCGCTCGCCACTCGGAGGGGCCGCCCCGCCCGCGGGGAACTCGACCTCGATCCTGATCCCGCGTCGGCGCCGCCGCCCCCCGACCTTCATTCGCCATGTGGCAAATTGGAAAGGGAGGCGGTTTCCCGATCGCTCCCTGCCGATTTGATGCTGGGTTCGATCCGAGCGACTCTTCGATGCGATGCCTCCCCGTGGTACCGCCGCTTGCCCTGCGTGCGAGTTCGCCATGAAGGGAAGGGGTCCTGAGAGTGACGGGCCCTAGATCCCAGGGCTTCCCCAGGACCTACTCTCTATCCTGAGCCGTTCTGTTCACGGCCCCCGGGCCCCCGTGTGGCCAGAAGCAGCCCGACAATGGCGACACACTTCCAGGACTCGTTTCCCCCAGGGCCAGTTTCCCTGCATGCGGCCCATGCATCCGGAGTCATGCTCTTTTTCACGACGTGGACCTGCAGAGCTCTCGACCTCTTCCCTGGGACCGGTTGCTTATCCCGAGCCGTCTTCTCGCGGTCCAGGGGCCTGGCGAGTGCCCCGTGTGCGTTTGCGCACTTATCCCGATCTTCTCCACCTATGGCCAGCAGCCCCCGTGGGTCTTCACCACAGAGCTCGCGTCGTGTTGAATGGCTATGGTGAATAAGCACACGTTGGCGCTAACATTGTTTTTCGTCGGCGGCTGGGCAGAGCAACTGCGCTGGTGGAAGTGCAGTCGCAACGGGGATACCGTTGGAGCGAACTGTGCCGCAATGCAGGAACATGGAGGCAGACAGGGAGGGCGGCCGAAGGAGGAGACAGGGAGCGAGACAGGAGGACGGTGTCTGGCGCTGCACACGTTCTGAGGAGCATCGTCCTGAGTCGTCCAAGCTCGGTGCTCGTCCGCCGCCGTCGAGCACCCGCCGAGGCGCCCGAGCTCTCGGCACAACCCCCGCGCGCCAGCCGCGCATCGCCGGCGGCGCCCCGTCACGCCCTTGAAGAGCCCACCGGGGGGGGGGGGTTCACGGGGGTCAGGCCTATGGGGTTAAGTCGGGCACGTCCCTCTACAGGAGGAATATTCAAATCCGTAAGAAGATAGCCTGGGGACGAGTGTTCTGTTATTTCTGCTGTGTGTAGCATTGGTATTTGTTTTGCAACGAGAACGAGCAAAACATCAGTTTCACCCCAAATCCGCCTGTAGGAGGACATGCCCGACCTAACCCTGGCGCTAAGAAGCAACGTCGGATCGCAGAGTTTCGGGAGCTTGAGGGTCATGTCGCCGATATGTCTGCTATGTATCGCAAGTTCAAGCTCGGTGTCCCCCCATGGTCAACCCATCATGTTGCCATCTTGGGGCCTCAAAGCCCAAGCGGAAGCAAAAAAGTGGTAAACCACGACTCGTTTATTTCTTTTGAGTTTGGGACGTGTTCGGGTAATATCGTTGGGGCATCCTTGGGAGGCTCCCGGCGTGCCTATTCAGAGCCGTCTTGGAGCGGTGTTAAGGTCTATTGGAGGTATGTTGGAGGGGGTCTTGGATTATCGATACCCTCATCGAAGAAAAGCAACCAGCAGGGGGCATGGGCATGAACTCACTTAGGTCCGCGGAGATATCTTGGACCAGCGCTGGACCACCCTGGCGGCGCCTGTGACGCCACTCTTGACGCGCTCTGGCGCGCCAGGGGGAGGGCCCATCGCTGATTCAAGAGATCTATGTGGACCTCTGGAAGAGTTGTCCGTCGTTATGGGAGCCATGGGGAGCAGACCCCCCCACCTTTGCCTCTGCCGACCAGGGTTCACGGCGTGGCATTGTTTGACCCGGATCAGCCCGTCCCAGACGTAAGCAGGTTGTCCACCCACGTGATTGTTTTTCAATTATTGTTTTGCGGATCGGCGCGGGTCCTCGCCCCCCTCTCCCCCCCCCCCTTGGAGTAGATCTTGGCTGTTTTTGGCGGTCGTTTCGAGCAGGTGGAGCCTCCCACACAGGACGCACTGCTGCAAACAGTCGCATTAAGCAGAGGTCTGGAGCCAGACCCCCCCCCCCTTCCGCCCAATGTCGAAACGCCAGGTAAGAAAACGCTCACCATATCAGGGCTGGCCACGCCGATCCTTCGCCCTGGACTGGTGCACATGCACTCATGACCAGGACAGGAGAGCGTACGGCACCGCTCCCGGGCCCGGGCCAGGCGAGGCCAGGCTCGGTGGAGGTGTGCGGTTTACGCAGGGCTCAGTTCGACCCCTCCGATTCGATTCGATTTCGACGGATTCCGATCCGATGCGGCTTCGGATTCCGATTTGGGTTTCGATTGCTCAGTGGAGGCCTACTAGCCTGCCGACTTGGCTGATTCGAGTTCTCCCGACTCGGCTGCCGATTTCCGCCGATCCGATCTAGTTGTCGATCGCCGATCCGACTCGTCGATTCGATTCTGAGCTCTCCTTTTTACGTCGAGTTTCGTCATTTTTCGTCCCCCCTCGTCACATAGTGCTCAGCTTTCTCGCGGCTGGCCGGCCCTGTGTTTGGCCTCTCTTGGCGCCGCAGTTTTTTTTTGTTTTTCCGGCCGGCGACAGAAATGTTGCCTTCCGGCGCGTGCACGCGAATTTGGGGCGTCCTGTCGCAGGAGCCCCGCATTGTGTCCCTGTCTCACCGTGGGGCACTCCCGGAATTTGAGCAGGGTCGCGGCGCGGCTTTGGCCGCCGGACCCGCTGGATTGTATGAAGTACAGAAAGTACCAAGGGGAGTCACCACCAAGGGGGTCGCGACCCCCCTGGTGGCGACACTCATTGGCAGTGCCTGAGGAGTGGTGCTGAAGTATCGGCGGCGCGCAGGGGTGCGCAGAGGGGGAACACGTGGCAAGGGGACGGCTTCCTGTGATAATGCAGGGTGGGGCCCAACTTCGACCCGGTTGATCCGGTTCCGTATAAGTTCGGGTCGGTTCGACCCGATAGTTGTTGGATGTTCCGAAGATCCAATTGGACCCGGTGTTCGCATGGCGTGGTTTGTTCTTTGGCGCAGTCGATCCGATTCGATCTTGATTCCGTGCCGACGCAGCCCAGTCTGACGCACGCGCCGATTCTATCAGATTCACCGATTCAGCGCCGACTGAGTTTGCAGAGGACTTGTTATAAGCTTCCTCGCCTCCTGGAAGCCTTCGTGGAATTTCCGAGCCCTTCAAGAAGCCCCCTTGCCTTCTCAGGATGCCACCTCGTCGACCCTTGGCCCTTCGGCGCGCCGCCAGAAGTAGGAGAAGCTAGACCACTGCTTGACTCAGAGGCGAGATCGAGTGTGAGTGCTTCTTTCGCTGTCTCCAGTCATGCTATACACTTATCCGTCGTAGAGTCGATTGGTCTGCAGTCACCGTTGGGCGTTCGAGGATCGCTCTTTCTCCTGTCAGATTCCTTCGCTGCCTGGCTGCACACAAGTAACCAATAGTCAGGTCCAGGATAGTGGGAGGTACGAGGGAGGATGAGGAGAAACTCAGGCGTTCGACGACTTTCAAGGATCCAGCGTTTGCTGGACGCTTTTGGCCATGATGGGCGTCCAGCCTACGGAGGCTGGAGACCTCCGCGACGGCCTACAGTCACGATGCTGCCAGAACGACCTCTTTTGGCACAGGGGGAGCTCACGTTTTCTGGCCATGAGGCTCGCCGTGGCCAGAAAGGCCGCGCCCTCACTGATTCAGTACCCCTTATGACCGCACAGTAGTTGCCTTGGGGACCTTCTGAGCACGTCGAGAGACCTCCAGAGACCTCCTGGGAGGAGGAAGGGGAGGGGGCACATTTCAATCCGATCGATTGGGTTCGATGGCGACTTCAGCTGGCTCGATCCGATTCAACTTCGATCTACACACGATCCGACCCGGCCGAATGTTTGCACGGGCGTTGTCGTGCAACCTGGCGAAGCCGATCCTATGCGATTCGGACGGCGATTCCGATGCAGCCCGATCCGACGCACATTTCCGATTCGGTGTTGGCTGGTCCTGGGAGATGTTTGAAGACGATTGCGAGCGTTCTGGAAGCTTCTGACAGAGTGCAAGCCCCTTCCTCCATTCCTTCCTTCCTTTGGTTTTGATCAGGCCCCCAGGGCCCTTGCTCGTCAGTCGTTGATTTCTCTTGTGGGTTGGGCAGTGCAGAAAGGCCCAGGACGCAGATGTATCGCTCCAGAGCGCTCTGGAGCGTTCTCAAGCGGCCGAGGTGCCCGATACATCCTCCAGATCCGCCACGCCAGCTCTCAAAGCTGACCGATGTTACACCAGTCGATTCAATATTGACCCTGCCATCGTCTTAATATGAGATGCTCATCTACTTTGAGGCCCGTCGTGTTTTAGGAGTCGAAGAGATTGGTCATCCTTTGTCGGCGGGCCGCAATCCAGATTACGTTGGGCGTATTCAAACTTCATATGGTCCCCTACGTCCGATGTCTCGTGTTTGCGTTGAGGACGTGCCCCCCCCCCAGAACCTCACGGACCCTGCAAGGGGACCTGCTTCTCATACCGAGTCGCTGTTTGCTTGCCCTTGGGCACGACAGTTGTTTCCAGACGGTTTTCGAAAGCACCGTCTTGGTTTGTTGAAGACGTTGAAGGTTTGGGTGCCCCACTTGAGCGACGCAAGAAACACGGGTTCGTCTGCGCCGACGCTCGCGCGCAAGATGCTTGTGGAATGCCGCGCGTAAGCGCCACGGTCTCCACGGTGGCCCGCCGCGCTGGCGGCCCGCGTAAGCCGCGGCGTCAGGCCGCAGTGCCATCTCGCGTAAGACCCGCTCCTGTTCGTCGCCCCCTTCGCTGCTGCCCGACCGACGTGCTCGCCGCTGCGCCCGTGGCTCCTCGCCCCTCGGCTCTCGCCGCCGCGCAGCCGTCCG